GCCGCTCTGAAAGGGGGACAAGTACAGTGACAACTTAAGATAATCTAACCTAACCAAGTTGATCCAAGTCGGTTCGGGCCGATTGCTGACACCAACTCTCCTAAATCACTCACTCTCTCTGTCTCTCTGGTGCATGTATTGATTCATTGTCTAAGTTTGTTATTGGGCTGCCGGGACATGCGGCTCGAGGGGTTCAAAAGTGTGGCTGTCCCGTCCAATCATGGGTCACAAGTATGACACCTACAGCTCATTATATATATACAACTATATATAGAGTCCCCGTCTATATCGCCACAACTGAAGAATGAACTTCCCTCCTTTCCCCGATGTCAACGCCTCCTTCCCATGTCAGTGAGACCTGACAGAAACCCCACAACTCTAGCACCTGAAAGCACACACCCCTGCACAAAGTCAGCTGCAGCTAGTTTGGATTGGCTGAATCATCTTTCAACCGAACCCGATCTGCACATCACTGTCAGAATCCTCCATGGTTTGCGCCACAGCAGGGCCCTCAGCTTCATCCTCAGAATCATCGAGGACAACTGAGACTGGCTTGTTTGGAACTGGTGCGTCTGGTGAAGTCTCATCTAAGACAATCTCAACTGCACCCTTGGTGCGCCCTCCTTGTTTGCCAGTGTGCTCTGTCGATTTCCCAAATGACATTGATGTCAGGTTGTGTGAAGAGGATCTCCGCTGGGGACCTTCCTGCTCAAATGATAAGCCTCTGCTCCTCACTGTCTTGATGCCTTTTGCGGTAGAGCCTCTAACCAGCTGAGTCCTGTCTTCAAGACGTTCGGGCGTGGTAGTTTGCACCAACGGTCTGGCACTTGCTCGCACCGCGGGAACCATCTTGCTGTCTCGCAAAGGTTTCACCGGCTTGATCTTCTCAAGCTCTTGGAACGATCCTTCCTGGTGTGGGAGCAAATGCTGAAGATCCGCACGCTTTCGGGCCATGCATGCCAGGATCCCGTCGTCGACAGTTCCTCTGGCAACCAAATAATGAATGTCAACAGAGGATGTTTGACCAATGCGGTGAGCACGGTCCTCAGCTTGTTCCATAATTTTGGGCACACTGTAGAGCTCAGCAAAAACCACCACGGAGGCTGCTGTGAGGGTAAGGCCCACACCGCACGCAGTGATGGACAAAACAGCGATTCGAACGGAAGGATCCTCTTGAAAACGGCAAGCTTCAAGCCCACGTTTGACGGCAGGTGTTTTTCCATCAATTCGCACATGCCCGATCTTTGCTTGCTGCACCCGTGCCTCTATGATGTTCCCCACCACTTCGTGATGAAAGAATACCAAAAGCTTGTCTTTGTCCAGTGAACTTGCAAGCATTTCGATATAGTCCGCCGCGATGTCAGCTTTGGCTAGCCCAACACGCGCATAAACTGATTGCCAGCCCTTCTCAACGCGTTGGACCTCTGTATCGCCCTCCCACTGTAAAGCAGCCACAGGAGGCAACTCCAAAGGCACCGTCCTGGCAAAGCCGATTGGGGTATGTCGTCATTTCCCGCCGAAATACATAAGTTGGCTGAGTTTGAGAAGTCCACAACTGCCTACTAGAGCTCTTGCTACCCCAAAACAGGGGAGGAGAGGGAGGGAGAGAGAGGGAAGGAGAGAGGGAGAGAGAGAGAGAGAGAGAGACGAAGATGTAGTTACAGGTAAACGGCCGACACTAACCACCAACCGCACCTGTTTTCCTTGAGCCAAAGTCAGTGAGCATTAGACATGTATATAGCACACTACACTACTGTGAAACAACACCCCCCGCTGAACGAAAATGGGAGGAGTGAGGATATGTACAGTGCATGAATTATGAGACCTACGACGGTATCCGGTCCCCCGGTACGTGCGATGCAACGAACCGGAACGCACCTCGAGATGGAGAGGATGATTGACCTCAAGGGCATTTGAATGAAAGCACTGTTAAGTTTCACTGCAGTGTAGTACATGTCTGGAACTGACGCACGCAATCAAGCTCAATGCAAAAGTGCAATAACGGACTCTTTTCAGCGCAATGGAACTGGAAGTGCAATGCCAACCTTTTAGAAAGCAGGAACTAAGCCATCAAGGCACACGCTCCCGCGTGGCGACAATGCACGACAAAAGTATTTGCGCTTCTGAATGCACGGGTTTGGAGACAAGTACATCGACTTAAACTCAAATGAATTAGCTGTTGGTGTCAGGCAACCGGTCCCCCGGTGCACAGCCGAAACGGTCATCCAGGCAACCGCTCCCGCGGTGCGATGAGGGATGCACAATGCCCGAATGGAAGCATTGTCACCTATGGATTCAATCTCACTCTGCTCATCTCCACACGCAATGGCTCCCGCCGTGCGATGTGCCTACCACCTGCGCTGATCGCTGCCTTGACCACGGTCACGGTCATCTTGCCACCAGTCTCGGGAGGAGGACCACCACGAGGAAGATGATTGATGCTGCCAACCCTGGGCAGAATCGTGCCATGAGGCTCCTCGCCATCGATGCTCTGCGCTCTCGGCCTGAGATTGCGCCGCTCTAGCCAAAGTTTGCCCAGCCCCTGGTGCAGCCTTGGCTTTCGGAATCACGAGCGCCCTGGTTTCCTTCACCAGGTTGATATTCAGGCCAGGAATGAGTTGAGCATCTTCTGCCACGAACGCAAGAAGTTCATCACGGACATCATCGGGGTCATCCTTCTCACTGCGCCACTCGCCACCAAAACCAAGGATGGCTGGTCGCTTCGGCCCATGGCAGTAGTCACCAGCAAAGGTCTCTGGCCGATGGAGACGATTCTTCCAGTACACGAAGAAGTCTTCACTGATATCGGCGTCGTCGCCCTTGGCAATCTCATTCATGAAGATGATCTTGCCCGAGTACCTGTGGCCAAGTCCCTGCGCAATCATTTCACGTGTCCGGGGAGGATTAGGAATGACCGCATCGGAGAGGCGCTCCAGGAACTGAATGCAGATGGGCGATAAGTCCGATAAGTCCTGAGCTGCGCAGTTGAACGCGTAAAACGCATCAACCAGCTGCCTTTGCGAGACCGTCAGGCACATCTTCTCCTCCTTTTGAACATGGCTCTTGGCATTAGCTTTCAGGATGTTAATGCCAGACCTCGATGCTCTTGGCTTTTCATGGTCACTCCCAACTTCGTGAAGACCTCGGCAGTTTGACACATCTGCCTGGCGTACTCCTCGGGCAAACCATAGCTCTGGGAGCCGCAATAGCACACCACAACAATGGCTGCCACGTCCTTTCGCTGACGTAGGTCAGCAAGGCGACGGAGCTGTTGTGCATGCTTTTGGGCCAACTCAGCCTGCCATTCGTAAGCTGCTCGTTGCTTGGCGGGATTGCGATGCATTCACGCGTCGATCGACGTGCGGCCGGGTAGACATACCTGAAGTTGGTAGCTACATCCTTCACGACCAAAGCAACGCGTGCCCCATCTATATCCATTTCCTCATCGTCACGGATAACGAGATGGTCGGCAGTCAAATGTTGTCCAAACTGATCCGCTTCGACTTGAGTGGATCCGCCTTTGCTGTAGGACGGGCGCTTTGTCATCTTTGCCCTAGAACAGGCTTGACAAAAGGGGTTCTTTGGGGTGTGAGTCAACAGATGCTGTATTGATTGAGCTTCTTCTTTCAACGCTATCTCCCCTCTATCCCGTTTGGGGTCCAACGGCTTTTCCACCAACCTTTCATCCACTGGTTCAGGCTCCTCTTCATCAGGGTCAGTCAGGGTCCTCACCAATGGGGTTCTCGTCGTCTTCGTAGACTTCGATCGCCTCTTCAGCCGGTGAAGCGGGCAGAGGAATCAGAGGAATCATGGGTCGTGGTCCCCCCGACCGTTGGCTTGTACCATAGGGTTGACCTATGGCGGACATCGCAACACCAGTTGTTGATGGCAGAAATGGAACATAGTCATCTACTTCAAGTTTAACCTTTGTACCATCTGGTTTCTTGAAGTATGGCCTACTATAAGCGGGCCAGTGAAAGCTCCATCCTGCATCGATGCAGCGTTGTCCCACAGACACGACGGCTGGACTGTCATCTAGGACGTACGGATTGATGTCATCACCCAAAATGGGAACATTGACTTTCGCTTGATCGGTGGCTTGGAAAATTCTCCATTGGCAGTAAGAAGACTCACCGGATTGGGAGACTGTGACACCTCACCTGAATGAAGCATGTGCCTAGACACAAGATCGTGAGCGCTACCAGTGTCAGCTATCCATGCGATCTCAGTGGCACGCACTGATGGCGACGACCTCTTACCAAAACACTTTACACAACCAATGTCAGAGTTGCATAGGTACGAACATTCTGCCGGCAAGGACAAAAGCTCATTCCTGACAGCGTTCTGGAGATGCGAGGCAGCAATGGAAGCATCTTCATTGGCGACCCGAACGGCTTCAACATATTCAGGGCGATCTGGTGTGAAACTTCTCCCTTTCTTCTTACTTCGGGGTTGAACAGGTCTCCAGCTGGAAGAAGACTCAACAGCATGACTAAAAACATTCGGTTGATCGTCAAAACGGACTTGTTGTCTAACAAAACTGTCAATGTTTTCTGCGTTGTCAAAATCGGTGCACATAGTGTTTGACGCGGAAAGGACCGGCATGGCCACGCTTCCCAGCGGGCGTGTGATGAGGACGGAGGATCCCTGAGAGACCACTGCGGCCATGACCACAGCACATAGGAGGCAGACCGCCGCCGGTGCATTGGAAGAAGAAGACTTTCCACTTTTTCTCCGCTGGCTTTTGGAGCCAGTTGAGTTGTCGGAGCCTGACGACCCTCGCGAACTGCTTCGCTTGCGAGGTTTCTTCTCTTTCTTCTTCTTCTTCTTTCTGTCCTCTTTCTTTGCAGGGACAGTTTTCTCAGGGTGTTGGAATGCGCAATCTTTCCCTCGATGACAATGTCCTGCTTTCCAGAATTTGCAGGTCTCCGTCCGAGATCCTGGAGTCAGTGACCTTGCTCGAGATTGGCTGCCACCCTTACCCTTGCCCTTTCCTTTGCTTTTCTCGCGGCCCTTTTCGTGCTTGTAGGGACATGAAGATCCGCACTTGCATTTTCCAGTCTTTTGGTAATCAAAGCACACACCTTTCTTATCCTCTGGAGCTGGCGCAACAACATCTTTGGCACCGAGGGAGCGTTTGGTGGCATCCCTCATCTTTTCCAGCCTCTTTCTCTCGAGATATGCCCGAGCCGCAGTGATGAGAAAATCATAAGATCTCTCTTGCTGCCTTGGCAGCGCGGTCGTATAGGGCAAGATCATGTTCAAGAGGCTTGAAGCGCTTCACCGCTAAGTGAAAATACGCCTCCAGGACATTGTTTTCGGGCTCCTTTTTCATGCCCGCCAACACGCTGTCCCATGTGTTGATGAATCCTTTCAGATCATCGTTCACCATTTTGACCGACATGAGGTCTTCGAGGCCGTAAATGGCGCCGTGCCGGATGCTGGTAGCGAAGTATACTCGTGAAATCGGAGGAGCAAATGTCTTCCTTTCACGGGCTTCTCTTCGCGAGCACGCAACTCCTTGAAGGTTGCGATTTGACGACCGAGGTCCCCCTCAGCGCAGTTCGTGAGGCTTGCAAGAAGCTTCGCGTCGAGGGTGGCAAAGCCCTCTGAATCATCAAGTGCCTCAATGGTTTGGGATTCATTGTACACTTTCCCAACCCAAGTTCTTGCATCATCTGGCTTAGCCGAAGCGGCTTCAATATTGTCCCTCACCTTAATCTTCCAGTCTCTGTACTTTTCAGGTGTGGGGAATTTGGGAATGAGAACCTTGTCGGCCTCTTTGGCCTTGTTCTCACGGTCCCTGTCTTTTGACTTCTTCTGCTGCTTCTTCAGCTCCTTCCTGATGATGCGCGCGAGACGCGACGACTCAGAGCTTGAGCCATTGGAATCATCACCTCCACTAGACGAACTGGATGAAGACGGAGATGGGGAAGGAGAGCGCTTCTTTCTGCGTTCTCGGGAACGGCCTCTCTTTGGGCTCTTGTCCTTCTTCTTCCCCTTTCTCTTTTTCTTTTTGTCCTTCCCGGACCTGCTTTCATTTTCTTCATCCGCATCTGATGGATGTGGATCGTCATCGCCTGTGTTCCTGGGCTTCTCCAAATGAGTACGAAGACTCGCAGGAGGCAAAGCTGGGGACCCATTGAGATCCAAGTGACGTGGCTGTACTGACGGCACAGGCGCTCGATTCCCCGAGGCGTTGTCGAACCTTTCTCTTAGCTCTTTGATGATCCGACTCTGCTCGGCAAGTTCTGACCGGAGGGCATCCTTTCTTTGCCTAGCCGATGCGCGTTCACTCTCAATGACGGCATGTCTTTCGAGTGAAATCCGATATCAATAAGCCCTTTGTTCATGAAGTTGTTGGTTCTGATGGGCTTGATTCATGTCACTTAATCGTTGGTTGGCAATAGCCTCATGCTGTTCCCTAGACTCCTCAATGACCGCCCTAGCTTGGTTGGCGACGACATCCCGATATTGCCTAGCTTCATCGACGAATTGCTGTCCTTGCTCTGCCAAAATGGCCTGATGCCTCAGTTCAGCAATTTGAGCTACCTGAGCCGAACGATCTTCGTTGACAAAAAGCGCTTGTTGATGAATCTGCCTAGCGTCAACATTTTGAACATTCAGCGCTGGTGATGGCTCAACATGCGTTGGCGACGGCACGACGACAGTAGACAACAGGTCCCCCTGTGCACTGAATGATGGAGGCTCAAAAGGCCTAAGCATATCCAGCGGAACAACAGGAAGATCGAGTGCCGACGAACTAGACATCGCTGGTGACGTCGGCACATACCCGGATCGGGAACGGTCCTCTCGGGAACATCCATCAGCCATGGTTCCTAGGCAGTGCGCTACCTACGGTGGAAGGAACCAGAGCTAGTCAAGCACGTACCGCACTTATGGCGATACGGCTGATAACCTGTAGTTACAGGTAAACGGCCGACACTAACCACCAACCGCACCTGTTTTCCTTGAGCCAAAGTCAGTGGGTATTAGACATGTATATAGTACACTACTGTGAAACAACAGAAGAAAAACACAAACAAGAAGCCATAATTCCATACAGAAATTCCTGGGCAGCTCAAAGAATTCCAGCTACGGTAATTAATTAGAAGCTATAGCCACATACGGCCACTACACTGACTACACTGCATCGGGGCGGGAACCTCAGGAAGTCATGGTCTGGAGCCCTAACCAAAAGCTGGCCTTCGGCGCTTCTGCGGAAGTTGGCGGAGAACTTCTGCCTTTTCTCTTCGGATCATCACTGATGACAAGACCTGACGCAACTCCGAAGGCCTCACTGACCCAGAAAACATCTCGCGACCTTGCTGATGGTCAGACACGCAGTAACGCTGCCCAAACTCACAAGGGCTTGGCATGACTGCCGGAAGCAAAGCAGCCAATTGCGGATATAGCTCGAACGCGTTATTCAGTGCTGGACTGCCCGAAATCAGCACCGCCCTTTGAGCATTCTGCAGCAGCGGAACCATGTGGCCAGTTCGTTGTGCTTGCCAGGTCTTCAGAAAATGGGATTCGTCGCATATGACTACGGCGAAGCGCTTGCCATTGGCCTGTGATTGAAACTTCGGATGTCTATGGAGCAGGTCGTACGACACAATGTAGAAATCTTTTTCACTGTAAAAGTGATCTGCGCCAGTAAGAACAACTTGAGCCGTTGCACTCAGCCATCTGGAAATCTCTGCTTTCCAAGCCAAACGCAAAGATGCAGGGACCACCACTAGAACTGGCCACTCGCGCTTGTAAAACGCCACGATGCCAAGAGCCTGAACCGTTTTTCCCAGGCCCATCTCATCCGCAAGTAGGACGCGGCCACCATGTTGGACACCAAATGCAATGCCATGGCGTTGATACTCGTGCAACGTGTTGATGATCTTGCTTGACAATCCTGTCAACGCCGTGCTTTCCAGCTCCTTGCTCACGGGCTCAACAGTGGAGATTGACAGCAATTCTTTAACCCACGACGGAACAGGCGCCAGAGGGGCATGTCCTGGAATTGCATCGATTTCAAGGTCTGTGCTCTCTTTGCTTTTCACTGGCTCCGATCTTTCCTTGGCGTGCTGTTTGCGGAGGAAGTCCTGCAATCTGCGCATACGAAAGTTGTCAGGATCTTTCTGAGCCAGGACCCAGCGGCAATATTCCTTGTCCTGTTTTGCCAGCTGCTCAAGCGTCAAATCTCTATACTTTCCGAAGCCAACTTGAGCGATGCCAGGATCGTGGGGCTCTCTGGTAAAACTTTCACTGGAGGGTTGCTTTTGCTCCAAAGTCCCTGGTCTAGCTGCATCGAGCTTTCGTTTCAACGGAATCATGAAAGCGGAACGATACAATCAGTCTTAAAGCTACGATACAATGCGTACAACTCTTGGCTTTCGGAATGATTCACCTCATCAGTAAACACTAGTGTCAAGCCGCGAGCAAATGCAATGCAATGCCTGGCTACGGCTCCTGCTGATTTTAACTTGAAGTGCAATTTGCCATGCTCCCCTTTTTGACCCAATCTAACATAATCTGACAGAGCTTCCTACAAGTTAGTTTCAGCGGCTCCAGTGTTCAATCCTACTATGCTGTAAGCCTGTAGGCACCCACAATCATAATTTTTGGCGTGAGTCTTTGGCAATCTTCAGCTCACAAAAACACAGCAGGAACATGGGGTTGGGACAAGTAAGCCTGCGGCTGGAGTATGGCCATCGCCCAGCAGGTGTTGGACAAGCCCTGGGGGTGAGTGCACCACAACAGCGCTCAACACCAAAAGCCCTTGCCAACAATCAACTGAAAGGAATGCGTTTGGCTTTAAGTCAGCTTGGATTTTGCAGTAGTCCCTTTTTGGTACTTATACTGCCACTTGAAAAGCCTCTCTTCCACCATATTCAATGTGCACCGGCAGCCTGCGAGTTCATCTCGAAAGCCCGCGAGGCCTCCATGGGCAAGCGTTCTTTTGTCAGGGCCTACTACCACAAGGCCAACCTGCAACGCCAAACTGTGGTTCAGCCGACTGGGACAGGTTCAAATTGTATTTGGAAGCAGCGTCTGTTGGGTTCTGGAAATTCCTGTGACTCAAATAGGATCTTGTACCGCTCGCAAACGTAAGCCACTGTCGTTCTAGCCGCTAGCCAAAAGCCATTACCACTTTGGGGGCCTCCGGTCGCGCACGGAATGTCGGGATTTAACCTATCGGGCTTCTGTTTTGGGTTGCTTCGGGAAGTCGACGTCACGGCCAGCACCAAAAAGGCAGAACGTTTGGGCAGTATTGAAGCCGGAGTTTAAGCATGTGAGACTAAAGTAAGGACTAAAGTCGGAGGACCCCGAAAGGACCAGGACCAAGAACGCCAAAAAACAAGGCACCACTTGATCAAAGAACCTAGCTTTCAGCGAAGTTGTCTGATGCTGTTCACATTTTCTTGTGTGATGATATATGATGATATGATATCTTGATGCTTTCTGACTGACAAAGCTGGGGCTCCAGCACCAGCAATTGCCAAGGAGATTGCACAGCCTTCTAGCCTCAAAGCTATGCACTACAGGTTTATGAGTGAGAAAAACATGAGAATATCAACCGTGGCTAATTCCACCACACAGCAAAGCACGATCTCACGCACATCAAAGAAAGCTCAGGATGCTGCAGTGGTGTAGCAGCACTGAGCTTGGCTACTGCCTGAACATTCAGCATGTGTGCGGCTCCAAATTGCTTAATTCGCTCATAGTAGCGTCTTTGCTCCTAGCAGCGGTGCCCCTAGTAGCGTCCCCGTGTTCCTAGTAGCGCCCTCTTGTTGCTAGTAGTAAGGCCAGGAGCCCCAGTAGCGTCCTCTTGTTCCTAGTAGTAAGGCCAGGAGCCCCTACAGTAGTAGCGTCTTGTTCCTAGTAGTGAGGCCAGGAGCCCCTAGTAGCGTCTTTGCTCCTAGTAGTAGCGTCTTTTCTCCTACTAGTGAGGCCAGGAGCCCCTAGTAGCGTCTTTGCTCCAGGTAGTGAGGCCAAAAGCCCCTAGTAGCGTCTTTGCCCCAGGTAGTGAGGCCAGGAGCCCCTAGTAGCGTCTTTGCGCCTAGTGTTAAGGCCAGGAGCCCCTAGTAGCGTCGTCTTGCTCCGAGTAGTAAGGCCAGGAGCCCCTAGTAGCGTCTTTTCTCCTAGTAGTGAGGCCAGGAGCCCCTAGTAGCGTCTTTGCCCTTTAGTATTAAGGCCAGGAGCCCCTAGTGGCGTCGTCTTGCTCCTAGTAGTACGGCCATGAGCCCCTAGTAGCGTCTTTGCTCCTAGTATTAAGGCCAGGAGCCCCTAGTAGCGTCGTCTTGCTCCAAGTAGTAAGGCCACGAGCCCCTAGTAGCGTCCTCTTGTTCCTAGTAGTAAGGCCAGGAGCCCCTAGTAGCGTCTTTTCTCCTAGTAGTGAGGCCAGGAGCCCCTAGTAGCGTCTTTGCCCTTTAGTCTTAAGGCCAGGAGCCCCTAGTGGCGTCGTCTTGCTCCTAGTAGTAAGGCCACGAGCCCCTAGTAGCGTCCTCTTGTTCCTAGTAGTAAGGCCAGGAGCCCCTAGTAGCGTCTTTTCTCCTAGTAGTGAGGCCAGGAGCCCCTAGTAGCGTCTTTGCCCTTTAGTATTAAGGCCAGGAGCCCCGCGCCGCCCCGCACCGCCCCGCACCCAGCAAACGTTCGAAAGGCTTCGATGTCGAAGTCCGTCGCGATGCAGCTCCTCCAGACAAGGTGTGGATGAATGAGCAAATTCTGCAGTGGATTGGGTTTAGAATGACTAGAGCTGGGGAAAAAATCGCTTTTCGGACTTGACCAGCAGTAGCTGATAAGGGGACACATTGGGATGCTGCCCATTCTCCACCTCTTCCAGCCGCTGCGAAAGCAAACCCGCCTGCCACAAGCATCAAGCTCACAGTTGTTCAGCTGTTCCCTCACTATCAACTCCATCCAATAGTCAATAGTATTCAATAGTTCAATATCAATGCCACAACGAATCAGAAGCTCTGTGTGTTTTTTCGTGCAAGCCAGGTGCAAAGAATATTGATTAAACATGAAATAAAATCCTTTCAGGCAAAGGCCACAGCAAAGCCAGCAACATCGGCCGACCTGGTCAAATTCTGCATCGTCAACATCTTGGCGCAGCTGCCCTACTACCCATGCATCATGTCCATCGTAGAGAATGATAGATAGTGTGCAATGCAAAGTCCCACCATGAGTGCAGAGATGGTGAAGACAAAAATGCCTTCCAGAAGCAAGCTTAGCGAGGCTGTAGATTGAAGTTGCAACCTGAGAAGTGAAGGGGGCAAAAGCTTGTTTGCTAGCTGCTAGTCAGAACGCCCGGAAAAGACACTACTGTATCGGTTGTCATCTTTTGTCGCTCGTCTCTCTTTCTTGAAGGTACATGATGGCCATCAAATTCAAGGCATCTCGCCTTCAGCGAAGATTTGGACGTCGTCGGGACTGTGCAGCCATGTATTTTTTCAATCATGCCACAGCTCCCAACGCCTCCACTATGGCAGCCAACGCGTTGAGTGACCTCTGACGAAAAGCAAACGCATCCACAACGTTGTAGCTTCCAGCAAAGCAGAAAAGACAATTTGGGAAGGAACCTCACACTGCGAAGCTCTTTGTTCAGCTGTAGAGTCGTCAAGGCCTGAAGACCGAAGACCCACTAGGATTAATTACAATGCCACATAATCTATTCCACGTTCAACAGTTCTGGTCATACAACCCATAGATGCCTTTGATCCTCCTTTGCGCATGTCTGCACCATGAGCTACTTTTTTTTGGTTAAATGTGAAGCGTGGAGGATTTGCTGAGGGAAGTTGGGAATGAGAACGAGTCGCCAACACCCAGGAGCACTGCTGAATAAACCAATGGCTGCAAGGTTGACGATGCCGAGGAGAAACAATGTCACAATGTTGGGCAAGCGGCTAGGAACAAGAAGCTACTAGGGGCTCCTGGCCTCACTACTAGGAACAAGAAGCTACTAGGAGCTTTGTCCGGAGGAGTCCGTCCGGGAGATGCCAAAGCGAACTCGTCTGCTCGGGACATCTTTTTCTGCACCAAAACCCTTCTTCCATTTGGTCCTCGCCTGGCTCAGAAGCCCGCATTCTAAATTGACCCCTCAGACAAAGGACCAGGTTTGGTGGGCCAAGCTCTCAACACACCAAAATTCAATGTCTATGACTTTGGTAGGTGTTAAGTGTGTGTGCAAGTATCACCGCTCAGGTTCAGAAGACAATGTATGATTCTATGTGACTATGTGACGCTGAATTGGACACACAAAGGTGCGAAAAGAGCGGAAAAAAACACTGCGCAGTGGTTGCATGATGTATGGTTATGATCTTGGTCTTCCAAATCGTGAAACTTCCAGTGTCAAATCGCAAACGCTGCCCATGACCTCAGTCAAGCGAAGAAGCAATGCACAAGCAAAGCACACCTGAAGCGACTGTGCAAGCACAGACTTGGTGACCAGCTTTGGACTTGGATGGCTACCTGCATCAAGGATTCTGGCGAGAGGCGAGAAGGCATGCAAGATGTCAATCTTTTCACATCTTATAAATTGTCCAGACCCTCAAGCCATACATCTGGATGTCTGCATTCACTGGTCTTCATCATCATCCCCCTGCCATTGGTGGGTTAGGCATTCACAAAGGCTTCAAGCTCCAACTATACAACGAGTTGAAGGAAACGTGCCGCTGTCCGAAGCTGCATCATGCATAGGATCCTCGCCTTTCCTTTGCCCTTGCGGCCTTTTCCGCCTCTCTTCCTTGCGGGCTTGCCTGCGAAAGAGTTCAAAAAACCTTTCTCACCTACATCCGTCCTCTTCAGCCAATGAAATGGCCACGTGGCCTTTGCCATCACCCTTCTTTCCATCGCCCTTTGGTATAGGTGGTTGAAGCGGTGATGCTGTATTGGCTCCAATTGGCAGCTGTCCATCTGGATGCATTTGCTGAGCCTCGAATCTCGCAAAGGATCATCAAGAAAAGTTGAAACCCTCCTCTGAGGCATCCACATCGCCAGCTGATCTGAAAACCATACCCATCCCACGTGGGGCCTAGCGGTCTGCAACTAGTAGAAGAAAGAGAATCACAAAATATATAAGAAAAAACCAGCTGGACTTGAGCCCTTTAATAAAGCCGCGTTTAAAGGGGCCCAGGTCCACCTTTTTTTACTTCTCTGTTTTTTCCAATTTTGATTTGGTCTGCTTACAGGGCGAGCCTCTTGCCCACCTCTTAGCCAATTTCCGAGAACCCTGCGTGGCGTGATGGTCTCTTAGCAAGTGCTGTAGCTTTTGCCTGGGGAGCAAGCAACAAGGCATTATTTATGTTGAGTCAAGTCAAAACCTGGCTGAATTTCCCAGAGGCCGCGCACTTGAGTTAATTATGTAATTTAGTACAGTTTGTTGTCTGAGTCCGAGTCATAATTAACCAGCACATTATGCCATGATGTCATGGTACGACTTACGCAGCACACCCTCTCCTCGGCTTCGCGTCTTTTCCTCTCCTTCTCCAGCCGCATCCTCTCACGTTCTTCACCTCGTCTCATGTTAGCTACAGGAACCATGTAAATAATCGTACATGTTCTCCCCGCTTTCCCTGCATTGGCGGCCTTTAGCGGCCCAAACAATTCCAATGAGCAAAGCAGGCTGCGCTCTGAGTCATGCACGTTCTGCTTCCCGTGCAGCTGCTGAGACGGCAGCGGCAGCTGCAGCACCACCTCTAGAAATGCAAGACCAAACTACCCCTCTCTCCCCCACTGCAAATGCAGCAGCACAGGCCCACGTCCACTTGATGCTCGCAAGAGCTACGTCTGTGAAGATAGTCCACTCGAGTCATGACACTACCCGTGTAGAGCGCTCAAGCCTGACCTGAGACGGGCCCTGCTCACAGCGGAAAGGTGGGAGAGTCAGCCTGAACATTATAGTTTACTTCAAAACAGCTTGGATGAAGTCGCAGGTACGTCGACAGGACGTCTCCCGTCGATGTCACAAGCAAGAGATAGGTGTCTTCGTTGGCACCTGCCCTATCTCTGCTTCAGGTGCCCCCTGTCTTTTAAAGAGTTTGAGTGGCTTTGAACTAACTTGCAATGCGTGAAAGCCATTGAAGCAGGCGTTGACACACACACACACACACCACGCCGATACCGGCGCTCAAGAGGTTTAGTAGCCACCTAACAAGCCTTAGAAGGAAAGGAAAGGAAAGGAAAGGAAAGGCAAGGCAAGGCAAGGCAAGGCAAGGAAAGGAAAGGAAAAGACAGAAAGAGAAAACGAAGAGGGCAAGAGAGAAAGATAGGTGTAGTTACGAGGCCCACTAGTTACGAAACCTTCTAGTTACTGAATACTTAGCCGCATGAATTAAGTGCAACCGTTAGCGAGCGGGACTTTAGTCTTAGACCACCCGGGTAGGAAAGACTAGGACAGGAGAAACAGAAGGCAAGGCACCAACACACAAGTGTGTTGAGTGCGATTTCCTTCTGTTACCTCAATTAGAGCGGGGGAATAAGAGGTGTGAATTCTCGTGCAGGGGTGGGGTGGGGTGGCTCAGGCTCAAAGGCACTCGGTCGGAAAGCCGTAAACGGCGTACCCTTGACTAAAAATTTACCTGAAGCCTAAACGAAGCAAAGACCTAGAAAACGAAAAGCAGCAGCAGGAGAGAACAAACCAAAAGAGATTACTTAGCTGCGTGGTACGCATCTTTTTTCATGACGTGTGAATACTTAGCGGCGTGGAGGATTCTTCAGTGTTTTTAATTCAGTGGGCCCTGCGGCATTCGATCAGCACTCTCAAGCAAACCAAACGAGCCAGCGAAGGTCAAAGTGAAGTTCACGTGAAAGGAAAGAGAGAGAGTCAGTGACAGAGGTTGGGTCTATGCACATGCTGCGCCCCTTGTCGGGGATCACACCACAGCCCTCAGTGGGACTCTGTGGCGTCACACACCTAGATTGATGCTCGCAAGAGCTACGTCTGTGAAGATAGTTCACTCTAGCGATGACACTACCCGTGTAGAGCGCTCAAACCTGACCTGAAAAGGGCCCTGCTCACAACGGAAAGGTGGGAGAGTCAGCCTGAACAGTATAGTTAAATTCAAAAGTGCTTGCATGAAGTCGCAGGTACGTCGACAGGACGTCTCCCGTCGATATAACAAGCAAGAGATAGGTGTCTTCGTTGGCACCTGCCCTATCTCTGCTTCAGGTGCCCCCTGCCTTTAAAAGAGTTTGAGTGGTGTTGACTTGACTTGCAATGTGTGAAAGCCTTGGAAACAGGCGTTGACACACACACACACACACACGGGAGATTATGCGTACGATTTGATTGCTCCAAGCCCTCGGTAATTAGAAGACCTGAGTAGTGCAAAGAGGTCCAACCAGCCTAAGGTTCATACAAGTAGATCAAAAAATAAAAATGACAAAAATCTCAAAGACATCCCGCATTGGAGAGGTTGCAATAGATTCCAAAAGGTTCGATAGGTCTCCAAACCATCGTGCGTGACTGCCGACTCAAACGGACGGACGCAATGGCCAGCAATTGTTCTAGTTAGAATCAGGGACCAAACGGAAATAGCATCGTCGGTGCGCAAGCTTCTCCCTTGGGCTGGTACTTGCATGAACACCCAGCCCCCTGCTATATATAACTCTGTAGAAAAGCTTACAAACAAGCAAATAGTGAAAAGATGTGAAACGCTTAACAGCAAACGCAGTAAGAGCATCGAGCGACAAAAGGCTCCTTGTGACTCCAAAGGTTGCACGTGCGCGCGCAACACACTCTGACATTGGTTTGCTGTTAACCCAGTTCCCAAGTCAAAGACAGGTGGTGGAACAGAAAGGCGAAGAGCCCAAGCATTTGTAGGTGTTTGAACAAAGTGGTTTCACGCTTGACTGCGGAAGCTAGTTACTGCATTAGCCCTTTACTGCAGGAACGGCAAGGTGCAAGGGTCCGAAGAACAGAACTGTTTAACAAACGCACTAGCACTTTACCAAAGCTAAGGAAACCTGTTTTGGGGGATATCATGCGAACAACCACCATGGAAACAACAGAAGGAAAAGTGGAGTCACAGCGTGTGCAAAAGTTCTCATCCGCGCAGGTACAGAAGTTTACGTCCAAACTTCCATCCAGTCGATTTCCCTAGCTTCGTTGGCGTGACTAGGAAATCGACCGTCGCGCCCCCTGTGACTTAAAAATTGAGAAAAACAGAAACTCTTAGTTACAGAGGTGGACACACACAGAACGCCGATATCGGCGCTCTGGGGAACTTACTAATCACCTAAAAGGCCTTAGAACGAAAGGAAAGAAAGACAGCAAGGAAAACGCAAAGGAAAGAGAGAAAGATAGGTGTAGTGACAAGGCCCACTAGTTACGAAACCTGCTAGTTACTGATTACTTAGCCGCATGAATTAAATGCACTAGTTAGCGAGCGGGGCATACGTCTTAAACCGCCCGGGTAGCTAGGAGTAGAAAAGGAGAAACAGAAGGAAAGGTACCGACACACAAGTGTGTCGAGTACCATTTCCTTCTGTTACCCTAGATAGCGGGTGGGATAGAAGTGCGAATTAGGTTGCAAGATGGGGGGGGTGTGGACGTGCAAGTGTGGACAGAGACAAGGAACCGTAACGTGTCCGATCTCAAAGTGGTCGTGGTTGGAAATGTGAGACAGTACATTCTTGAAAGTGAAATCAAGCTGCAAACATGAACGTGAATCTGATCAAAGAGAGTGGAATTGCCGTGAAGCCCGGCGGCATAAGTTGCAGGGAATACAGTGGTGAAACCAAATCCGTTAAGAGAATCCAAGGTCTGGTGGAGACGGTCGAAGCAGTTACACGAGTTCCGGATTGAAAACGGCGCCTCCTTGCGGAGGATCACACCCAGCACCCAAGTGGGACGACTGAGCGGGTCACACTCTGACATTGGTTTGCTGTTAATAACTCAGTTCCCAAGTCAAAGAAAGGTGGTGGAACAGAAAGGCGAAGAGCCCAAGCATTTGTAGGTGTTTGAACAAAGTGGTTTCACACTTGACTGCGGAAGCTAGTTACTGCATTAGCCCTTTACTGCAAGAACGGTAAGGTGCAAGGGTCCGAAGAACAGAACTGTTTAACAAACGCACTAGCACTTTACCAAAGCTAAGGAAACCTGTTTTGGGGAATGTCATGCGAACAACCACCATGGAAACAACAAAAGGAAAAGTGGAGTCACAGCGTGTGCAAAAGTTTTCATCCGCGCAGGTACAGAAGTTTGCGTCCAAACTTCCATCCAGTCGATTTCCCTAGCTTCGTTGGCGTGACTAGGAAATCGACCGGCACGCCCCCTGCGACTTAAAAGTTGAGAAACACAGAAACTCTTAGTTACAGAGGTGGACACAGACACACACACACCACAACAAAAACCACCGACCCAGCATAACCCAGAAACTCACCCAACCAACGAACAAGAACACTCAAGAACCGCCAAGAAAAAAAGCAAAAGAATGCAAAAGAGTACTGGAAGCAGGTCTGTGTGCATGTGTGTGCATCGGAGACTGTGGCTTGATCTCTTCATGCACTGGCCTGTTCGAGCTGCGGCCCTGCGACCAGCCGGAGTTGTTGGCATCTAGGCGTAAAGGCCAACAAGGCCACATCGCAGGAAAGGAACGAAAGTAAAGTGTTTTGTATTTTGGGGGCAGGCCGGAGCTCCTGATGGAAGTGTCCTAGTCCTGGCAAAGGCACGTTATGCGTTTGATAGTTCATGTTCATCAAAATTGCCAGCACGACCGCCACTCGTCATCCACGGTGCCACCGTGGCTGCTGTAGTTGCTGCGACCGCCATAGTTGCTCCATCCATGGCCGCCCCCATGGCCACCAAGTGGACCAACACCTAAAGTTCCAGTCTTGCATCTACAATCATACAGTATCTATCTTTTATACCATGTTCACACGTTCACTTGAAGTGAAAATCTGAAATCCTGGGCTGTGGCTTGACTCAGAATCACCTGCACATCTGTGGCATGCTGTGGCATAGTCCGTTTCTACACCGCTTCAACGCGCGCCACGACCATACATGCCAACCAAGGCCAGCCGACTGATGACTAGAGTTGGGTATGGCATCCAACTGCAGTAAGTACCGGGCTGCTGGTGCCATTGTCCAGCCCTGATGCAAGGAGCAAGCATCACACACGTTTCAAAGCTCCTTGCAGCCCACATGCTGAGGCTCCGTGCTCTGAAATGATGCATAGCGGCCCTGCCCCTGCAGGCAATCCAGTAGTGCTGAGAAAATGCATGCTGAGTGCACTGGAACCGAAAACAACAACACTGATGCGTGAATGGTGCAAGTCGAGGAAACTCCTCATCTCCTGTGCCACAGCTTTCTCTGTCATTCTGGGGGCCCTGCACCTGTCCTCAAGCATGACACTACAACAAGAATGGCGTCACCGTCACCCATGAAATTCAAGAACGACTGGGCTTGACCAGGGGGCTTGCGTACCAGCAGCCATGGCACCTTGACCAGAAGGAAAGTGTCAAACGGGCAAACTCTGCAATGTCCGTCTTTCTTGTGCAGTCTGTGACACAAGTGCATCCACCGCTCTTTTCTCACAGCCAACTTCTCCTCTAAGAGACAGAATGACATACAGACTCGGCCTTCTTCCTTCACGAAATAAGAGAAGCCAAATGTTCGCACTGTAGAGAAGTACAGGAGTGTGACGAAGTCACAGAAAGCTTCTTTAGATTTGGCCATCGCGTTGCATGTTGCCGTGTCGCACACTCAATGACATGGAAATACTGCCAAAGTCGGTCAGCAAAGTCCCACCAATTGTGCCGTGCCATTTGAGAGGTGCAGGTTGTCGTCGAAGAAGCTGTTGCCCTTGATGCACTCCGTGCCGTCGCCTGCAACATTAGGCCTCCTGCCTCCCTGATAATTTCAAGAAGGAAACAAAGTGCCGAGCACAGCACAGCTCCACAAACAAAATTCAACGTCCACTCCGGAGTCCACTCCCCAAGATCTCTGCCTGGCCTGTGTGGTATATAACAAGAATAAGTGATTGGGAGCAAAACTCCTAATGCACAATGCGCTCAAAGCCTCTCTGAATGAACATTTGCACATTGAAACGGTCGATATGTTTTGTGCTGTCCTTCAGCTTTTGCTGCACAAGCAGCTTCGAGGTCGGATCAAGAGGAGCGAAAGCTTCATCAATCAAGACAACCTTCCCACACACACACAGACAGACAGACAGACAGACAGACAGATAGATCGATGGATAGATAGATAGATAGATAGGTGGATAGGTAGGTAGATCGATAGGTAGCTAGGTAGATAGGTAGATAGATAGGTAGATGGATAGGTAGATAGATAGGTAGATGGATAGGTAGCTAGGTAGATAGGTAGATAGATAGGTAGATAGATAGGTAGATAGATAGGTAGATAGGTAGGTAGGTAGGTAAATAGGTAGATAGATGGCAGGTAGGTAGACAGGTAGATGGATAGATAAATATATAGATAGAGAGATAGAGAGACAAAGAGAGAGAGAGAGAGATAGAATCTGCGAGAGATAGAGAGACAGACAGACAGACAGACAGAGACAAAGACAGAGACAGAGACGCAGACAGACAAACAAAAGAAAGAAAGAAATAAAGAAAGACAAGGGTAGATAAGGATAGATTAGACTAGAGTAAAATAGATCAGGATCGATTAGAAGAGAGTAGAATAGATTAGAATAGATAAGGAGGGATTAGAACAGAGTAGAATATAGAGGTTAGAATAGAACAGAACAGAATAGATTAGATCATTAGATTAGATGGATAGATGGATGACAGCGCCGAAGTTTCTTGCAACATGAAAACTGATGATACATGACATGAGACCCTCAACATGCACCCGGCCTTTGGACAGCTTTCCTTGAGGAAAATCTGTCTCATCAGTTCAGCTTTGCTCCGCTGGCCGCCAGACAGCTCAGCATACCAGTCCTTGTGTTCGTAACTAACAAGATTCGGAAGCCAGCGCAAAAGACTGAAGAAAGGAACCTAATTACTAGCGATGGCCTCCAACTAGTAGCAATGGCCTCCAACGTAATCCTTTTATGCACATGATTCAGAAATCGTACTAATGCCTCTCCGGTTCCGCAGCCTCAGTCCGCAATTCTGGCGAAGAAAGCCCAGGTGACAACGCAGCTTGTGCCTCAAGGATGAACACAACTGAGTGGTTGAGTGCTACATGTGGCTCATGGTGAGCATGATTCAACCAACCTCAATATAGGCTCAGGCAGGGCTACAATCATATGTATGAAAATTGTCCGGGCCGATGATGAGTGTCCTCTGAGGTGGACTCGCAAGTGAGGCGAAGCAGCCGGAGGGAGCGGGCACGAAATGCAAGAAGGAAGCAGCCATTCGACAGTGCGTTATAGTTACAAGAGCTTTGTGCAAAATATTTTGGGATACTATTCACCTAAGGGTGAATATAAGTATTTGCATACCCGTCCCAAAAGAAAGCATGCCCCAGTGATGCCAACCAACAGCAGTCATGGTGCGGTGTGGAAGCGCAGTTCCGAAGAAACCCTTGCCTCGGCGTGAAGTTTGGTCAATTAGAAACCACTATGAAAACAGAATCTGTTTGCCACTGCACCTATCACCTGGACCCAAACGTTTCCTCCCTTGATAGGCTTGGCAGGCTGAACCGATGTCTACGATTGCATTCTGCCTAGGGTGCTACACGTTCCTCTGCCTGCTGCAGCACTTCTTCTGCAAGATCAATCTCTGCCAAGTTCAGCAACCATGCCAACGGCTTGATAAAGAGAGGATGGTAGGGCCTCCAGGTTCGGATTGATAATCTGTCAAAAGTTGTCTCTATCTGTGACTTGGCACTTGCACTCTTAAAAAGCAACAGCTCTTGTGAGCCACCTATGATGTATGTTCGTTATATCCTTGGTTGTGACCTTGAAATCTCGGCAACCTGGACCTTGATGAAGAAAGAAAACTTAACGATTCTTGGACCCCGGTCGTGTTTTCCATGTGTTTGCGCCCTGTCTCTTAGGAAACCCTCCACCCAGAAATGCAACAGTATCGCTTTGACAAACTGCTCTAAGAAGTTGACAATGGTTTGACAATCAACTGAAGGCAAAAAGCAAATACTGCCTCTGTGGGATTTCTACAATCTCGTCCACAGGCAGCACCTGTCGATGCAAAAGGTTAGTGCATATGGCACAACAATGCATATTCAGTCATGGCGCAACTTCGCCATGAGTCCTCAAGCCAGCAGGTAATGGAATTGGTTGCGTGCACGCAGCAAAGATGGAGAACCTCAGCAAACGATATGCAGGCCGACTTGGTTCGGCAGCGGCCACCTTCACAATCTCTTTCAGGCCAAGCGACAAAGTGCTCTTGCCTAGGTCACGCTACGGCAATGGACCAGGTTCAAAGGGGATCTCGGAAACATGAAAAGGCTAGAAGGGTCTGCCCCTGAAAATGCATTGCTCATGGCTCATGCATTTTCACACACACAGACACACACACACACACACACATGTTTATATATATATACACATTATATAAAACCCCATGGTCCGCGTAGAGCCGTTTTTGGCCCGGCTAATGTAAGCGCAACATATTTCCTTGACAACATTTGATTGTACACCACCTACTAGGAACTACTACAACGTACAAGTCAGGAAGCCAAAACGTCCACAAGGTCCTGTCTTTAATGATTTCTAGCCACGACATAATACAAACAGTTAAACACATCTATTGTCTCAAGTTTGTCAATAAAAAAAAACGTCAAACTAAAAGCCAACCCAAGTAACCAAAAACTAGGACCAAGGACGCTACTAGGGGCTCCTGGCCTTACTACTAGGAGCAAGGACGCAGAACCTTGACAAGAAAGAACAATATTCTCAGACTCTTGGAGCCCTGGATGGGCACGCCCATGGCAAAAAATAACTAAAATTTACCAGACTTCTTGAAAAGTGTGTTTTCTTTGTGTTTTGTGTCTTTTGATTGTTCAATGTTTATTGGTCAAACCTTGTTTTCGTGGCCAGCTTACGTAACAGAAGCTACAAGCACGTACATTCAGGAGGAAGAATCAGATCTGGTTTTGCAATCTGCCTGATATGAATGATTTGGGTGGTTCATTGCTTTTTCATATGAGTGCTCTTCCGTGCGGGGCGCCAAAAATGGCTGAGGGTGCACGCCAGAAGGTGGCTTGCACGTTTCGACGAGCACGAGCTAACTCAGTCCTATTTCGCATGTCTATACTGTATATAACGATATCATCTCTGTACATATGGGTTGGGGTCCGGAGTGATGACACTGATAAGAGCAAGCATGGAAATGACTCCAAGGAACACAAAGCAGGTGAGAAAACCAAAAGAACGATAGAAACATGTGTAGGACATACTCTACAGACTCTACACTTCCACCTTTCTCAGTTTGTTCATGTACATGCTGTAGGAGATACAGCCAGGAGGGTTGCATGAATCTTCTGTACTTCACACCTGGCTATAGTTGACTACAAACTCTACTCTTGAGATTTTGGTTTCTCTTCTCACTGTCTAAGAGTGCAGACTCACATCACGCATCACCTTCCTCTCGACACGCTTTGCACAAAAATGTGCCTGGCGCGCCTTTAGACATATCCACCGTCCCTGTGAAAGTATCAAGCTGGATTGATTGCCAACAGCTGCAAGCAGCAAGTGCCAAACTAAAGAGATACAAGAGGAACTTGCACGATAGGAGCGGGGATGGTTTGCAGAACATTGCAGAAGGACGCTACTAGGGGCTCTTGGCATCGCTACTAGGAGCAAGGACGCTACTAGGGGCTCCTGGCCTTACTACTAGGAACAAGAAGCTACTAGGAGCAAGGACGCTGCTAGGGGCTCCTGGCCTTACTAGGAGCAAGGACGCTACTAGGGGCTCCTGGCCTTACAACTAGGAACAAGAACGCTACTAGGAGCAAGGATGCTACTAGGGAGTTGAGTTTTCCTGCTAGATCTGGACAAAGGTGGGTTGTACTGTTTTATGAACCTCATGCAAACGAGCCGAGGAAGAGCGGGAAGGGGATAGGTATTAGACCATGGGATACATACACGATTGTAAATGTAAATAGTGTGATTGTATGTGACTGGGCCTTGCATCATCGATTCCCCTCCTCTAGCACACGCTTGAGGGAGAGTGAATAGGGACAGCCCCCCTGAAGCAGTCTGCCGCGCCAGCAGCAAAACAGGCAGACATGCGCAGCCAAGCAAACCAAAGCAAAAGCCAAACAATAGAAAACCAAGCTATATTATACTCATGTTTTATGTATTATAATAAGGTCAATTAACTTTATTTTACCAGGGCTCCACGTTTTGCATGATTCACACCTTTCACGCAGTTCATATCCAAAAAGCTTTTCAGGTCAGAGTTCCACGAATCAAGCAAAACCTCAGAAGAGGTTCAGCAATCGTCTTAAAGGGAAGCAATGGTCAGCAGTAAACAAAGCTAATTTAAAGAAAGACACACACCCTGGGTGAAACATATTCATTTCCACGCTAAAAACACCATTCAATGGTTTAGATCTTTTGGAAGACCTTCTCTATATTATTCCATTGTGCCCTTCCACTTGATAATTTGGGATTGGACATGACTACATGTGTAGGTGTTGGGGTTGGCAGTACGTAAGGTGCGGAATTGACTCGAGGCAGCTGCGACGAGAGGTTGCAAGAATCTCAAGCACCACCAACACAAAAGCAGTTGTGTAAAAGCAGGCAAGTTGCCACATCCATTGGGGCCTGTGATGGCATAGACATTGCCAGACGTCAGGTCCAAATTGGGAAACTGCATGTGCAAGGTGCCCCAGTGGTAAGAGAAGTTTCGAAACTGCAGAGGACCTCACTACAGTAGACAGCATCAGGAACCCTTGAATTGGGAGGCTGGGCTACACGGCTACACCAACTTCCACAGTAAACACGATGTAATGAACAAGCGATGTCCGAAAGTGTTATACAAAAGCAGCCATGGAGCCAGCGTGTCTTTCTCTCCGGCAATGGGAGTGCATATGCAGCCTGCTCCATGCAATCCACTTGCAAAACATGTCAAAGAACACCAACTGAATAGACCGGGAAGCACAAAACCAAGCAAACAATGTTCTCAGAAGTGCCTTTGAAAGTGGGCAACGAAACCCTTCTGCAGCTCCGAAAGGCGCTGCAGGTGGGTTTGCATCTCGGCGAGTTTGGCCTCCTGTGAGACGGGGCAGGGTCGAGAGTTCTGGTTTCGTGTTGAGTGTCTTATTTATACTTAAACTTAAACTTATATATATATATATATTTTAAAAAATATATAGTTACAGTAATAGTTCCCGAAAGCACTGCGAAGGGTTCTTCCGGAAAATCCCTTGAACACTGACACTTCGACACTTACACTTACACACTGACACACTGACACTTCCACACTGGCACTTGAACACTGACATTTCTACACTTACACTTGAGCACTTACGCTTCCACACTGACACTTGAATACATACACGTCTATACGTATCCCAGTGTAAGGGTATGCAATCCCAGTGCAAGTATGCAAGTATAAGTATGGAAAACTTGCACGGGAGATGTCCTAATGAAAAACTTTTCCCCACTTTATAAATTCTCTCTTAAAGGCGGAGGGTGGGACGAACAGCATCAACCGAAAATGCAACCCTCTGCGGAGATCGTGCGTGTCGAGTGCGCGAAATGCAGGCGAGAGTGCGATTGGGTCAGTGCGCGCGCAACCCTCTGCGGAGATCGTGCGCGTCGAGTGCGCGAAATGCAGGCGAGAGTGCGATTTGACCTGTTCCCGCGTAACCCTCTACGGAGATCGTGCGTGTCGTGTGCGCGAAATGCAGGCGAGAGTGCGATTTGGCCTATGCCCGCGCAACCCTCTGCGGAGATCATGCGTGTCGAGCGCGCGAAACATAGACACACTCTGACAATTGTATTCAGTTAACTCAATCCCCCGAGGAAATGAATGGCTCAACGGCAAGGTGATGAGTCCGATCAATTGGAGGTGTTTCAACACAAGGTTTGTGCACATCTGCAGACTCGCGACAGCAGCGGACGAGCGGCGGACGGCAGCTGAAAGGCGGCTGTGGGAAAACTTGTTTATGGGGTAAGAAACGTGAAAGAACCATGAATCAAACCGTGGAAAAGTAGAGTGGACAGCTTGTGGAAAACTCAGCAGGTACATGGTTGAGCATCCCCAACCACTTCCCTTCCAGTGACCCAGCTTCGTTGGATCAGGTTAGTCACTGGAAGCCTGATTTTTATTTGCTGTGGAAGTGAACGGTGGTAAAGGTGACCAGTGGATTAGTGGGACGAAACCCTTTGTCCAGGGGTGGACACACACAGGTCGCCGGCTTCGGTGCTTTTTTCTCAAAAAACGGTGGAGGGCGTGCTTTGTCAAAACTAATAGCCACCTAAAAAGCCTTAGAAAGACAGACAAAGCAAACAAAACAAAAGCAGACTAAGAGGGCAAGAAAGAAAGATAGGAGTAGTTACGAGGCCCACTTAGTTAAATGAAAATAGAACGCGAGCGGGACATTCGTCTTAAACCGCCCGGGTAGCTAGCAATAGGCTAGGAGAAACAGAAGGAAAGGCACCAACACACAAGTGTGTTGAGTGCGATTTCCTTCTGTTTCCCGAGTAGCGGGTGGGATAGCAACGGAGGCCTGGGGGTAGGGAGGGGAATGCATGATGAATTCGTCCGGCCTGTGAATACTTAGCAGCACATGCATGTGAATACTTAGCCGTCAAGTCAAAAAGGCACAACATGCAGAAAGCCATGTGCAAGACTGATCAGAAAGCCGTGGAAGAGAAAGCTGCCGTGTTTAGGCCCGGCGGCCAATGCATCAGTTGATTCTATGGGGGTGGCGGTGACTTCCGGTGAAGGTCCAGTGGAAGCGGTACGTTGGGGTTGTTGAATTCCGATGCAAAAAGCGGCGCCCCTGTGACGGGGATCACACTCAGGACCCGAGTGGGACGGCTGAGCGAAACACACTCTGACAATTGTATTCAGTTAACTCAATTCCCCGAGGAAATGAATGGCTCAACGGCAAGGTGATGAGTCCGATCAATTGGAGGTGTTTCAACACAAGGTTTGTGCACATCTGCGGACTCGCGACAGCAGCGGACGAGCGGCGGACGGCAGCTGAAAGGCGGCTGTGGGAAAACTTGTTTATGGGGTAAGAAACGTGAAAGAACCATGAATCAAACCGTGGAAAAGTAGAGTGGACAGCTTGTGGAAAACTCAGCAGGTACATGGTTGAGCATCCTCAACCACTTCCCTTCCAGTGACCCAGCTTCGTTGGATCAGGTTAGTCACTGGAAGCCTGATTTTTATTTGCTGTGGAAGTGAACGGTGGTAAAGGTGACCAGTGGATTAGTGGGACGAAACCCTTTGTCCAGGGGTGGACACACACACAGAGACGGACTCGACACACTAGACTGAACATGTCACACTGAACAACATAGACACACACACACAGGAAGGACGGATACACGGACTCGAGACACTAGACTGAACACGTCACACTGAACACTTAACAGATAACTCACACTCTGACTTCCTACGTGATGAAAAATGCTTTCGGGCCACTCAACGTCTAGTACAGTATATATATATATATGTGCTAATTACTGGGTTAGAGGCCATCGCTATTAGGTTGGAGGCCATCGCTATATATATATATATGTTTTATTGAAATACACTGTGGAAATTCACACAGCACCATGGCCTCCCGGTAGCGAGTGAGGAGAAATCCGATCGCATCTTCGATTACCATAGCATAGACCCCAATGTCTGCTGCTGTAATCTTATCGATTTCCATTATGCGTGCTATGGCACACTCAATCCCAACTCCAAGCAAGTTGTTGTAGTAAATCCAGTTCATATATAGCTTTGAAGATAGCAAAAATCTTCTCCAAAGGGTGATGTCCAATATCTCAGAGGCTAGGGTCTCCCAACGCCCTGCCACAATGGCAGCTGTTTCTGTGCGACTGATGACCTCAGCGTGTCTCACATCATGCTGCTCGATCTTCCTACGCTTGTCAGCAAGACGTCTCAGCTGCTTGGTGGTCTCTTCGACCACTGTCGTGACGAATGTAACCGCACGGACTCGACCGAAGTCAAGCCCAATGCTCACAGGAAGCAATGTAAGCGTAAGAGTAGGCTGGCTGAAAAGCATCCCAGACATAAGCACTAGGTTGGGCACTGCGTATAGCTTCTCCTCCAAGAAATGGTAGCTAGTGGAAATTAAGCTACTGAAGGATTCTGCATAGCCATCAACTGTGTAATTGGAATCGCGAACAACTTCTAGCCTATTGTGAAAATGCTCGCCTGTATGGAGAAAGGCATCGACACGCAAAGATTCTTCAACCTGGTTGAAACAGTGACGGAAGAACGCGCTATTGGCCGTCTCCATGACACTGCGTTGGAGCATGTAGGGTAATGCAACACTGGTGACGTAGACCACAACTTTCTCCAGCAAAAACTGTCGTGCGGTCAGCTTGCCACTTGCCACCTCAAGCAATGCATTTGACCGTGCTTTGTCCTGGCGCATGTACCAAATGTTGACATAGCCGAGAGATATCTGCACATAGCTGACCACAATAACAAGTTCTGCAGCATACTGGTCAAAGTGCTCTTTGCCAATCACGTCTCGAAGAATGTGAAATGCAGACATCACCTCACTCACAGGGAGCAAAACATCTGCAGCCTCAACAACCAGCTCGCCCAAAGGATACCACCATGTCGTCCAATACATCAAAATAGCCACAGCTTGTGCCCCAACCACGGCTGCCAACGCGAAGAAATCCCATGCAGCAACCCCAAGATATGAGTTGAGATGGACAACGAAAAGAGGCCAAAACTGGCACAAAATAAAGCCACAAGGACCACTTGCGAAACTTGTAGCTGTCCCAGCTCTGGCGGCCTCAATGTTCCATCGAGCTACCAGGCCAACACAACAGGACGCCACAAGTTTCAGCCTTAGAGACTCTTGGGCAGTGCCTGGGCATGGCAAGGCCCACCGAGCATATGCAGCAGACAAAAAGAATATATTCTTGTCGGCCAGCAATTCTGCCACAAGGTATTCACCGAATTTATCCAAAGACTCTTCCAGTGCCGACCAAAGCAACGGATATTGAACCACAAGAATTGCAATGGCAGCAATGACAGGAGAGCCATAGGTCAACAAACGTTGTGCGGATACCATTGACACTGCAACTGGGCCAACACCGGTCAGACCACTCAAAGCTCCCAGTGTTGCCCTCTTGCAATCATCATTTTGCGTCTCATGGTGTGAATACTTGAGCAGCTCAACGTCCCAAAATACACCAAGGCCGTTGTCTTGACTTTATTGATTTTATAGCATGTTATCGTGAAATTATTCTGCTAGCAGCGTGAAAATTGCTCTGAGTGATGTAGCAACTGGAGTGAAATGATCAGGAAAGCATCGAGCTTGAATCTCTAAACACCAACACAGCACCCGAAACTAAGGACATCCAGGTGTCGAGCGCTCACGGCGTTCGGCTTCGCGCTCTTTGCGATCACGCTCCCGCCTCGCTTTGGCATGGCTACTATCATAGGCCGTAGGAAGCTCCAGAGCTGGTCCGAGAGTTTCTGATGTGCACTTCGAAGTGATAAGGAGGCTGCTCTTTGTCCGTACGGTTGGCCTCCAGGAGTTGAAATCTGAGGAAATGCAAACATGAAACATCGTGACATGGCAAATGAACAATCTTGCGTGTATGAAGACCGGTTCCAACTAGGACTACCCCCTGCCTTGGCGGCGAACTGATCTAATTGCAAGTCATCCCGTCTGACCTCTTCCACGGATAAACGGACCTCACTCGCACGGTCCAAAAATGTGAAGACCAATCAACCCGAGTAGCGATGCCATTTGTTTCTAATAGCGTCCTTGCTCCTAGCAGTACGGCCAGGAGCCCCTAGTAGCTTCTTGTTCCTAGTAGTTAGTAAAGCCAGGAGCCACTAGTAGCGACCAATGTTGGCACAAGAATCGCCTAACTTAAAACCTCATGGCCTGACGGAAGTCTGCACTGCAACTCATGGACGCTGTATCTGTGTCGCTGGCGTCAGGGGGCTCCATGCCCTTCGAGCGCGCATAACGCCTGTCCGAGAACAAAACTGGTGTTAACCTCATGTATAGTGTTTGCCGCCTCCGCCATCATCATCATCATCATCAAATAGCGTGGGCAGCTGCCGAAATCTTTCCACACCATACCACCCCGTCAAAATCTCAATCATCTCACAGCCAGCAACAGGGTCATCTTGCAGTAGGTGCAACTCCCAGTTGAACCTGTGAACATGCAGAAGAATCAAGTCGAGACACTGGAATACCAGTCAAATCTGTCGTGACTGAATTCCAAATACAAAAGGCTGTACACCGCAAAACAAGGCCCATGAACAAACGCCTCCCCTGAAAGCTGGGCTAGACACGCAGCGTAAAAACTCAAGTGGTCCAGCAAAGCCATTGTGACAAGGGGGAACATGGCAAAAACACGGGGCTGAAAACAATGGGCGGGGAAGAGCCGTTCCCTGGACTTGGCCCAGAGCAGAATTCCAACACCACACACAAAGCTCCCGTGCCCCTTGGCGCCGATCACGGAGTGATACTCAAAAAGAAAGAGGTGAGAGTGGCTACCGCAGGCGACCTCCCTCAGCAAGGTTCAGGGCGAAGGAAAGGAGCACGCATCTGCAAGGCCAGCCCCAGCCCGACGCAGGACCGCCCTCGCATTCTCCCTTTGCAGCGTCAGAGCCAAGGTTTGCTGCAACCTCTCGGTCAAGACGGACGCAGACTCACCCGTTCTGCCGGCCACTGCGTGCGCGAGGCGCTTCCAAGTAGCACACGCGGGTGGAGGTTCTTGAAGGAGTTGGAAATGCGCCCGGAAAGCTTCATGGCCGGGGCCGGAACAAACCGAAGCAAGCTCAGCGGCCGTGAACCTGTCCACTGCCCGTGACAAATCTTGTTGTCGAAGGGTTGGTGGCGGTGGGGAAGGAACATGGTCGCTGGAAAGCAGGGATTCGTTGAGGTTGGAGAGAACTGTGTCCAAGTTGGAGTTGTAGGCAGGGAACAATGAGCAGCAAACGCTGGTCGTCGTGGCCAGGACAGAAGCTGCGTAAGCAGCCCCACTGTGTCGAGAGACGCTGCGTAAGCCCAGCCCACCACACTTTGTAGACAGAGTGGCCTGCAAGCAAGCCGCTCGCGACAAGGCCCCCGTGCAGCAGCATTCCAGGCATTGTAGGACAGAAGAATCATAGGTTTTCAACGCGTCCACATGGAAAGGGGGAGGGGTAACCCGACTTGAATAAACCAAATTTGGACCAGGAAGCACAGTGCCGGAGGAGCAGCAAAGCAGTTTGGCTATCTGGCAGCTGGCTTAAGGCATGGGCTGTGTCCCGCCCGTTGCACTGTGTGCTGGTGGCAAAAAGAGGGGCTCCCAATGGCTGCGCCCAGCAGAACAAATTTGCCAGTGGTGTTGAATGGCAAACCCGTCGGTCAACGCTTGTGTTACCACCATTGAAGGACGTGAGCTCGCACTTTGCAACGTTCAAGTGCAGCCCCACCTGGCGAGCTGTGTTGGCAAGCCGGCCGAGGGCGGCTTTGACGCCCCAGCCGAGCAAACATCATCCAAGTAGGCGAAGCACAGGTCGAGGTGGGAGCGGCCCGCTGCAAGCAATGCAGGTTGCAGAGCCAAAGCAAAAAACAACAGCCCAAGAGGGTCTCCTTGTTGTACCCCGGCTTCTGACGCTATGTGCTCTCCTTGAAACAGAAGCTGGGAACGGTGGCTGTAGCACCATTCGGCCCATGCAGCCGCGGCGGGCACCCGGAGCCGCACTTCACGGAGCAGGGCTGCCCGGTCCACAGTGTTAAAGGCGTTGACAAAATCCAACTTGAGGAAGACCTTGTCAGGATGGCCACGGTTGGTGTGAAACCAATGCCGGGAAGAATGGATGGCTGCTTCTGCCCCTAAAGGCACGGCCACGCCGACTTGCAACGGGGACAGCCAACCCCGAGCCTCAGACTTGACCTGCGCGCACAAGCATTTGGCCACCAAACGCCGCAAAGTCTCACCCACAGCAATCGGCCGCACATCGTTGCCATGTTTGGGCAGCGCGTGTAGAGTGGCCCCTGCAAAGCGCGGGGCCAGTTCAGCAGGGGCCTCGCCAGCCAGCAACTGCACGACTCAGGCGAGGTGGGCTCCAACCTCATCCCCGCGCGCGCTGTCCAAAGCCTCACGCAAATGTTCACCCCGCAAGCCAGTGGGCCCGCCAGCACTCCCCCGCCGGAAGCTGCGGGCGGCCCGGACCACATCGTCAACGGAGAATTCGAGGGTCGCAGCCACCGGGCAAGGGCATCAAGCAGGGTCGGGCGGGCGGAGCCTGTCCGCAAGGCCGCGACAACAGTGCCACCGTAAGCCCACAAACGGAGCACAGGTCGAGGTGGTGTGCTGTGAGGTAAGCAGCAGGGATGTGGCCTTGCAGGGATCCGGAGGCATGGTCATCCAAGTGGGGCCGCATGCTCGCATGGGAGCCCCAGCCTCGCGCAGTAGATGGATCGGAGCATGGGCAAGCAGGCACGGGGCAGAACACTCGTGCGGTGGCCTGTCGTGCTGGCCCGCGGGCTTCCAGCGACGTCCATGCGTCGAGGGCGCTCTCCCCCCAGCGGTGTGCCAGGTTGAGGGGGCCCCGGATGTGTAGCTTCGCCCACCCGTACGCCTAAGTAGCCGCATCTTCGCCATAGGCGTCGGCGCCAGGCCGGGAGGTACCCAGCAGGCTCGCCGCCGTCGCCAATGGACCAGCATCGAAGGCGCAAGGGTAGGCAGTGCAGGAGGGAACAGCTCAGCACGGCAAGCTGCCAGGGCGGCTTGCCTTCAACCCGGTTCCCGGCCGGGAGCCGCATAGGGGCAGGGACCAGGCAACCACGACGAAGCACCAAGCAACGAAAGAGCCAGGGGAGAACGCCGCCATGGCCCCCTGCGGGCAGCAGCTGCGGGATCACTCCCAAGCCGAGGCGGTGCACCAGAGGTCAAACTGACGTGGGACCGACGACACGGCACAGGGAGCGGTCACGCAGCAGCCGCCCACAGAGAGCAGAGCCGGACCCGCTAAGTACAGCGTCTAAGCTGCATCTGGACCCCACAACCACTTTCGGCACATCAATGATATTCCATGTGCCGCGTCGATTAGAATCTAAACGGCACTTGCCATTGGTCAAACTACTCACACCCATCATACACACACCTCCGGCCACCAAGGCTATGGAAATTGACCCTGCAAGCAAAGAGCGCGCGTCATTCCAAAGATTTGTGTTTCCTCGCTAAGTTACAATTATACTGCTCTCCTGCTATTTGAAGAGCAGTGTCATCGTGCTCATACGGTGCGCTGATGATGACTACTAGTATGACTAGGACTAGGATCGGATATACCATGTTGTGTGCTTTGGGGAGGCATGCTCAGCACAAAGGAGCAAATTGACGAGCGACAACACGTCAACCGTAGGATTTGCTACCTGCACAAGTGATCTTTATATGCCAAACTTGCAGCTTGTGAAATGCAAGCCGCAGTAAACCACAAGCAGGTTAGCCTGTAATGCTTGTAGAGGTCTTTCAGCAAACGTGAAACCTGGACAACCAAGCTGACTCTGTACGAAGCAAATGTCAACGTTCTCTGTCCAAGGGCCCAGCGTGATCCACTGCATTGACCTCAGCCAGGGCTCGTCTGGCATGCACCACTTGCAGTCACTTGCCAAGGGATGCAAGAATGGCGACGCTTCAATGACAATCACACCTCGCCAAAAAGCATGATGCTTCCGAGACTGGTGCGTAATCAGAGTAGTCTGTGCAGCTTACGTTGAGTTGCAAGGGCATGTTTGCCTCCGACAAGCGCAACTCCTCTCAACAAACAAAATTAAATGAGACTTGGAAGGTCCATACTAAAGAAGTTGTTCCTTTGCGCAAGCTGCGAGTGCAAAAGAGTTGCTACTCACGACAAAGGCCTCTGTGCCATCAGACCCTTCGAGGAAGCCACTGCCAATGCCTCGTAATCGAACCTGCAGTTGTATTTGCTACCTTGAACTCAACAGCCACACGTTGAATGAACAAAGTATTTCAATTACTGCTCACTCCCTCACTCTATCTCTATCTCTCTCTCTCCCTCTCCCTCTCTCTCTCTCTCTTGTAAAATTCAGCAGCTGTTTGTTTGTCGTTTGTTTGCGCACGTCTCTGTATTGTTTTCCTCTTGGCAACTGTCCTTAGGCTCAACTAGGCTAGGCTAGGCTCAAGGCCTTTGATCCAAGGTGCATTGTATGGCACCAAGCAATTGTACATGAACACTATGATAGAGCAAGTATGCTATTGTAAAAGAACTTGTATCTTGACACCGTCCCTAGGTTTGATTCATTGTTGAATCACACCATCAATACAAACATTGTTGAAACAGTAAAGGAACATTATTGTACATAAACAGTTCGGGCATTGTAGGCAAGTCTGTACATGTTCTTCTGCCTTGTCTCTCCAGTGTTGTTGTCCTTCTCATCGTTGTGCTCGTATGGCATCGTCACAGCTGGAGATTTGCCTTGCTGATTGTTGAGACATTGTTTCAGCCCTCCATGTCATCCATCTGATTGTCTGGGGCCTCCGAGGATTGTCTGGGACGTTTTGTCCCCTTTTCTTCTTCCTCGTCTTCTGACTTTTCCATATTGTCCTCATTGTATAGGACTGCGCGGTCCTCCCACAAAGAGATTGTCGAGTTTGTGGGAAGTCGACGCTGATTGTGAAAGTCTGGAATCGTCATCTCCATGGCCACTGTTGCCCTTGAAACTGTCCTCGAACTAGTCGATCCCGATTGTCAGCGCTCGTGAGCTGGGAAGCGGCTGCGGTCAAAAAGTTGTCGACAAATTGTCAACCAAGCATGCATTGTCTTTCAAATTCAGAAAGCAAAACTTCAAACACATTGTTCATCGAATTGTCCTACGAGTCGACGACAGAAAAGATCGGATCCATCGTGAGACTGAAATCTTGTAGTACATATTGTCTATGAAATAGTATGCACGTAGTAGCTAAAGTAGTGTGCCATGGCTTGATGCCCCGTTGAAACTGTTTGTACGATCGTTGTTCAATTGTGGTGTTGTGGGCACGCCATGTAGAGGTGTTTGTTAAGCACCTCTGCCGGGACATACTTTGTCAGTATGTCTGCTGGGTTGTCATGTGTGCTGATCTTGTGTATTGACAGTATCCGGCTTTGTACCAGTTGTTGTATGAATAGGTACTTTAGGTCAATGTGCTTTGCTTTCTTTGATGAGCCAATTCTCGTTGCTATGCTCTTGCCGCCTGTCGGTGTGTATGCGAATGTTCACCTTTGTTGTTGTTGCTTCCTTGATGAAGTTGTCCTTCTTGTGCTCCTGTGCCAACTGCATAAAGCTCTGATATCTGCTGATGATAGCTACTACTGCTTGTGTTCTGCTTCCAAATTGTACTACGGATCCCATCATTGTCACGATGAACCCACTTGTTGATTTTCTTGTGCTTGGGCACCCTGCCCAGTCCGCATCGACATAAATGTTGAGGTCGATGGGTTCCTTTGTTTGTGGTGTGTGTGTTGTCCTCAGGATCATTTTGTAGTGTTGTGTTCCCCTGAGGTATCGTAGAAGGTGCTTCACCTTGCGTAGGCCTTGCTGTGTTGGTTGTTGTAGGTCTCGTGCCAGTTCTTTTGTTGCAAAGCTGATGTCTGGTCTTGTGTAGGTCAAGCTTTCCTACTGCTCTCCTGTAATCTGCATGTTCTTGTGCATCTAGAGGTGCATCATCGTTTGTGGATTGTTTCAGGGTTGCCGTCCCTGGAGCTGATGCTGGATTGCTTGCTTCCATCTTTGTTTCCTTCAGTAATGTGGTGATGTATTCTGGTTTGAGGCTCACCTCAAAGAAGTCTCCATTGTTGTGGACGTCTCTGCCAAGGAATTGGATTGTCTGACCAATTCCCAAAGTGCCGGTTGGTCGTAGTAGTACATGCTTTTGTACTTCTTTGAAAGTCTTGTCGACTTCTTGCTGTTGTCCTAAGAATAGTAGATCGTCTACATAGACCATCACAAACATTGTCTGTTCATTGTTCCTGTACACGTTGGGTTCACTTGTCAGTCGAGACAGTCCCATTTGCTGTAGGACTTGCGCAAAGTGATCCTGCCAGGATTTTGGACTTGATCGTAGTCCATAGATTGCTTTGTTGAGCTTCCATGCTGTGGTTGTGTTGTGACCACTTGGGTATAGTTCTGGTGGTGGCCACATGTAAAGATTGTCTGCCGGTGCTGGCGCATGTAGGAATGCTGTTGACACATCACCTGCTTGTATTGTCCAGTGGTTGTGCTGCGCCATTGTCAGTAGGATGCGTAAGATCCCAAAGATTGGCGTGCTCGCATAGATGTTGTCAAGGTCTTGGATTGTTTCCAAGTAGCCTTTTGCTGCTATGCGACATCGCGCTTCCTCTTGTTTGGGTTTGCTGACCCACTTGGATTCTATGACCTTGTACTTGTGTTCTTCTGGGACATCATTGTAGTTCATCTCTGGGAACACTCCTTGTGTCTTCATTGATTGTGCTTCTTTCTTCATTCCTTGTTGTACTTTCAATGGATCAACACCTTCATTGTCGTAGACGAAGGGTTCTTGTAGCATCCTTTCCATGTCTGCTTCTTGTTCATCTTCACAGGATGCTGTGGTGATCTTGTCACCTTTCTTTGTGGTGATTGTCACTGCTTGTGTTCTCATCTTTGCTTTTGGTTGTTCTTCATCTTATCCTCGGTTTGCTGCTGTTGAGGACTGTGCTGTCCTTGATTGTTTGGATTGTGCTTCACCTGTAGGCTCCTCATGTTGTCGCTTGCTTGCTGGTGGCGTTGGCAGTGGTGGTCTTGCCATTGTTGTTGGTGAAGTTGCCAATGGTGATGTTGCCATTGTCACATCCATTGGCTGATGATGCATAGTGGTGTCTCTTGTATTGTCTTTGTGCTTGTGTCTTCCACTGTAATGTCAGCTTGTGTGCCAATTGCTTGTCTGCTTGCGGTGTTGTCAGCTGGTAGAAGCAATTGTGGTGGAATTGCCATTGGTGTTGTTGGCAAGTTCCATGGATACACGTTGACAGTATCCAATAGTTGCTTGTCGTACTTGTCTGGCATGATCTGTCTTCGTATTGTTCTTGCTCTGATGACCTTGCCAGGAATGCCAACTATTGACTCTCCAGTCATTGTGTCTCTGCCAAGCCAGATTCCTTTGAAGAATCTTAGTTCCATCTTGGGTTGTGCTTTTGTTGTTGGTATCATGTCTTGTACTGTTTCTGCCATCTCGCATAGTGGTGCTTTGTGGTCCTTCTGCCATCGTCTTTGATAACTTGTTTGTCCGTCATTGTGCATGGCATACCTGTTCAGTAGCCAGGCTGCATGCCGTACAATCCACGGCATGATCGGATGTTGTACGCTCAATGTAAGGTTGTAGCTTGTGGTCACTTGTTGTACCAGTGCTCGGACTGGTCCCATCGCCATCAAGGTGCGATGGAATCGTTCAATGCTTAATGCTTCCTTGTGATTGTGACGAGTATGCCGGTGATTGTCGGATGTTGACGTTGTTTCCGAGCTTTTGTGCGACGGCCTTCAGTAGGTTCTGTATGTATTCTTCTTGGTCTGATTGTAGTGTTGTGGTAGATAGTGTTGCTTGTGCTCGTCCACATTCAAACATGAATGTGTGTAGACATCGTGTCAGGTATTGTTGTTGTTGGTTCTTGTCTTGTACAAGAACTGCCATTGCCATGCCTGATTCGACATCTATTGCCGTCAGTACTGGTAGTACTTGTTTGTCTCCAAATGCTTTCATGTATGTGAAGTCCACTTGTATCACAGGTTGTTTGCTTGCTTGTTTTGGGTGATTGTCTGTTTGTCCTTTGCTTTTGACACATATTGGACACCATGAGCGGTATGGCAAATGTGTCAGTTCATGTTCTAGTCTTTCTTGTCTTGTTGGTTGTTGCGGCGCCTTCATTCCTTTGGCGCGTTGTGCTTGTTGAGATTCATCTTCATTGTCCGTGTTGTACTCGTACTTGTACTGTGCCTCTTCCTCGAAGTTTGTTGATCCTGTCCATTGTCTGTCAAGCTGTCTTGCTGTCTTGCTCCTGATTCGTGCCAATTGTCATGGATTGTGTATCCTCTTCCTTGTTCCGTTCTGTTCACGAATGTTGTCCGTGTAGGTTTGAGTCGTCCAATGTTTGGACCATCGTCTGTTTGTTGTGGTATGTACATTGTCATCCGTGCTTGTACGTGAACTCGTTTCCAATAATGTCCCTCTCTGATCCAATAGTCTGTTGTTGGTGTCATTGTGGATGGATCAGGTACTGCTGTAGTTGTTGGCGCTGGCTTCTTCGTTGTGTGTCTGTATAGTGGGTCTCTGCTGACCTGTTGCGTTGTCCCGTCTTGCTCCGGGAGTTGTAGTGTCGTCGATTGATGTCGTGCTTGTAGTGCCTGTGATGCTTTCTCTGTCTGCTCGGTTATCTTCGCAGTTGTGGTTGCCGGTTGCGCTGGCGGCTTGTTCACTCTGAACCATGTTTCTCCGGTCCATGTGTCTCCTTGTATCACTCGTCGTTGTTCGTGCTTGCTCAAGTCATGGTATTGTTCAACAATGTCCTCGTAGTTCCCGTCTGCTCGTCGGATGATTGTTCGTCTGTAGTTGCTCAATGTCTCCAGTGGTACTGGGCAATTGTCGCCAGGAACAAAGAGAGCCTTTCTCTTGTTACGGTGATACCATACAAGGTATCCTTCATTGTTGTAGTTCCAACAGTCGCTGTTGCCTCCAAGGACTTGTTGCGGTCCATGTCTTGTCAGTGTTGTTGGGGCAATCATTGCGATCATACCCTTTTGTGTATGTCTCAGCTGTAGTTGTTGATGCTGTCCCAGGTTCATGATTGTTGCTGGCAAGTAGTAGAGGTTGTGCTGCTGCCCCAAGGGAACATTGAATCCATTGTCATGGCGCATTGTTGGAGTGTCGTTGAACCTGATGTCAAAGCCTTGTTCTGCCAGTCTTGTCACTGACAGGATTGGGTCATGGATGTCACACACGTAGAAGGGTATGACAATTGGTTGTCCTCTTGATTGTGTATTGTCTTGTTTGTCACTGTCCTGAGGTTTGGGCTTTGTGCTTGGTCAATCTTGTACACTGGATAGTTGTCTGCAAACCATAGTGGGCAGACATGTGTGGCTGATCCACTGTCGATCATGATGTGCATAGTGTCTGTTGTGCCGCTGCTGGTGGTGTCTGTCTTGTGGTCATTGCCATTGCTGATCATGGCGGTGACATGGATTGGTGTCATATCATGGTTGCTGGTGGGTGCAATTGGCGGAAGTGCCAACGGCTGTTGTCCTTGTTGTTGTCGTGTGTAGTCCTGAAAGCGCCATCCAGGAGTCGTCGTACCATTGTGCTGTCGTGTCCTCAATGTCATTGCTTTCTCCTTGTCCAATGTTGTGTATTGCCACTCGGCAGTCTTTGGCATAGTGTCCTGTTCTTCCACATCTGTAGCATGTATCTGTTGCTTGTTTTCCTTTGTTCTTTCCTTTTCCCTTGTTGTATCCTTTGCTGAATCCTTTGTTTCCTTTGTTGCCTCTTCCGAATGGATTGCCGAAGCCGATCGGACTGTTGTTATAGCTATTGAATCCTTTTCCTCCATACTTTCCTTTTCCTTTGTAGTTGATGTTGTAACTGTTGTATCCGTAGCCGTTGTATCCTCCGTAGCCTTTGCCTTTGTTCTTTCCTTTTCCTTTCCCTTTTCCTTTATAACTGTTGTACTTGCCTTTTCCTTTGTGGATTGCATCGATGTCCATAGGTGCTTGTCCTCCACCGAAGATTGTCGCCACACTGGATGATTGTGATCGTAATTGTTGTAGTTTGCTGAATGCTGTTGTCGACCTGTAGTACTCGATGATTGTTTGTTTGACTCGTGCATAGTTTGGGCTTTGTCCTGAAAGCAGTTGTAGGTGTTGTTGTAGTGGTCCACTTGTCTCGTTGAGCAACACGGCAATCTTCACGGAGTCTGGGAGTGTTTGACCATTGTCTCGCTCGAATCTTTGTAGCTCAAATTCCCATGTGGAAAATGATTCTTCGAAGTTGTTCTTGTCAAATGTTGGTTTCAACAATCTTGTCAAGTGTCCTATGGATCTTGTCCCCGATGGGATGGAGAAGCGGATGCACAGTTGTCGGTACATCTCGAAGCCAATTGTGTGTTGGTATTGCCTGCAGACTGTAGCTGCTGCTCCTGTTGTTGTGTTGATGAGGATGTACCTCAAATCAATGCTGAGGCGAACATGTCGTTCACCATCTTCGATTGTTGATGCCGCTGCTCGTAATTGTATCTCTGTGAGTTCTGCTGTGGCTTGTTCCGCTGCTTGTAGCAAATCTGTGTAGTCGTTGTCTTGCAATCCCATGTATGCTGTAAACTTGTATTTCCATTCCTCGAACGTGCCATAGTCTGCATTGAAGAAAGGTGGTTTGAGTTTGTATCTGTTCATGTTTGCTATGTTTGCTGTTGTCTCATCTTCTGGAACTGGAGGCAGGTGGTCTCCTCCATGTGGAGCTGCTGCTGGTTGTGCTGCCATTGTTGCAGCTGTGCAAGCTACCTGTTGTAGGGTCAAGGCTTGTCCTCCGTTGTCTGTGTTTGTGTGTCTGTTCCTGTTGTTGTATTGGAGCTCACCTGGATTGTTGTTACCAGGATCCTTGCTCCGCTACCATGAAAATTTCAGCCGCTGTTTGTTTGTCGTTTGTTTGCGCACATCTCTGTATTGTTTTCCTCTTGGCAACTGTCCTTAGGCTCAACTAGGCTAGGCTAGGCTCAAGGCCTTTGATCCAAGGTGCATGGTATGGCACCAAGCAATTGTACATGAACACTATGATAGAGCAAGTATGCTATTGTAAAAGAACTTGTATCTTGACATCTCTCTCTCTCTCTTCAGCTCCATCGAATAAATATCACATGGTCACATGATGTTACAAAATGTTACAAATATCACCAAAATGAACTTGTGCAAAATTCAATATGTCGCGCCGCTGTAGTGTACACTCAGCTGCGGAACTGACGGCATAGTAGGGGAAAAATTGTTTCCCCAACGGGAACGCGACGCCCGGCGGGGGGTCCCGGCATAGTCCTTGTAAATACCAGCTTCCCGCACCGAAACGCGGTAATTTGGCAATGTGCTGGATGTGTTCTGAAACTCCTTCTTTAGCACAAGTGTTATATATTCACAACAAGTTTCTTGCATGGAAACGCAATGAGTTAGCAATGATGTTATATAATCATGTTAATCTCCTTGTGGTCCCTTGACATCTCTTTGAACCAGGCTCTGGACACTTTACTTATATCGGCACGAGGGTGAGCGACAGGGTGAACGAGGTCAGAACCCACGCCAGCAAGAAAAGCCGTCATAATGAAAACCTCTAGTTACCTCCTCATGTATATGTGCACATCCCCTCCCTTTAGTTCTGTCCCTTTTTTCTTGTCTCTCTGCTTGTCTGCTGTGCTCGGCGTTTTGTCTGCCGCTGCTGCCTTGTCTCCTGACTTGTTTACCCACCTGTCTCCCCACTTGTTTGCCTGTGCGATCGGCGTTTTGTTTGATCAGCGTTTTGTTTGCCGCTGCTGCCTTGTCTTCTCCCCAACCAAATGCGAAATCGCCACAACTTCAACATGTGATTGTAGCTTTTTTCCAAGCACATCATCTGCCCGTCTTCCGCGTGCCTTGGCATTGCATTCATCAGCAATGCGCCGCATATTGTTGCCTGCCTGTGCATTTGCTAAGTTGCCTTGCAAAAGTTCCCCATTGCTTTGGCCAGGCGTTGCTGCGCATTGGTGAAAACTTCTGCAAGCGCCTTTCCAAGAATCCTCTTGACAAGGCAAAACTCCTCGTCATCTTCAAGGCCTCGTGTGGGGCATGACGCTCGTTGAGTTGGGGCCCGACCCTTTATCATGCTTGATCCCTCAGAAAATGTGCAAAGCTTACTGGAAAACATGAGATCGCCTACTTGAAAAACGCAGATGAACTTCTGGCTGTCGCCTCGATCACAGAACAAAAGACACACTGACTTTGGTGCTAGGTCAGAGCAAAGGGCAGCAAGACCACACGATGGCCACAATGACCCAACTTCTCCCTACCACAGATCCTAACAGTTTAACAAATCCGCGCCTTCAAGCTCACCGGGCGGTGCAATGAGGTTGGACAAGCCTCGTTTGGCGGCCTGAAGTGGAGGATGCGGTCTGCAAAGCACATGGTGTCGCCGCCGCCATCTTTAGAGTTGGCGGTCCGGTGTCAATGTGAGGTCAATGAATGGATAGAACACTTTTTGATAGACCAAACCAATTGAGGTGTTTGAGGAAGTACTGCGCCAATAGGTCACTCACTTCCTCGCCTCGTCGTGCCTGCGATTCTTTCGTGGCCTGCAAGCAGTCATGCTCAAGGCTGCTGTTCTTGTCCTGCTAACACTGGTTATCACTGCGTTGTTATCACTCTGCCTCGGCCCCTCCTCTTCAACTCCAAGGCCCCATTCCTAGCAAGCGAAGCTCTTGTTTCACAGATAGAGGGAGTCGGAAAGCCCAACCAGCTGACCAACAATAGAAGTTATTAAGTTATTAATATGAATTCTTGGGTGGGTGGGAGTGTTGCCCAATGCCAAGAGCCCATGCATTGCCTGTAGAGTCGACAGGAGAGACAAGGCAGACCTCGCATGGACAGCAAACAGCAAGCGCCAAATGGCAAAACTTATCAACAGAGGCGCAAGAGGGCCTGGCTAGGACTTTCTTGGGCACTGGCTCTTCCGAATCGAGCAGGGGCTCACAGAATGCTAATGCATCTTCGAAGGCCTGCCCACAAGCAAAGCACTTGGCAACAACTCCATTTAACACAAATCCTTGCAAAGCATTCATTTGGAATCCACATTTGGCACGGCCACGCTGCCCGATCTCTTTCTTATATGGTAGATGGCAGCAGGTTCATGAAACTTCGTCATCACTCCGAATCCAAAAGATTCACTGGAACTGCCAGCTCTCAAACCGATTCCAGGTAACAACCAGCTTTGAGTTGTCGTGGCTGGCCATTTAAGCAGAAAGCAGGGTACGACTTCTCATATCGTGCAGCTGTGAATATGGAGAACCGCCCCTCTGTGCGAAAATCGCCTTGCCTAACGAAAGCTACGGCACCTTCGCACTCTCGGACTGGATTGATGTAGCGCCAAACTTCTTCACCCTGAGGGTTGACCTCGAAAATGATTCCTTGTGGCCCCATCGTAACCAATGTATTGCCATTGGGCAGCCGCTGAGCCCCAGAGATATAAGTGCAGTAGAAGCTGCCTAGCTTGCCCTGTTGTGGGCCGAAGCTCCAAATAGCCTTTGGCTTTGCCACAGTGTCATAGAAGCTGCCCGCTGGATTGAAAGGAAGTTCATACTCGTCTACTGTTGAGAACAAACGATCAGGTGCACGACCATTGTTGAACACCAGGACATTGCACGTCCCGGCTGCAACTTTTACAAAGGTAGCACTGTGTGGGCAAAATAGAACTTGGTCCTGAAGCGTGCCTCTCCGGCACGCAACTGGGTTGCCAAACCGATATAAGATATCTCCGCCCTTTCCACGTGTTCCACCCGTGTGTCCTCGAGCTTCATGGACTGTGGTGCCATGATCAATGACAATAAACTCAGAGGAAACATTGATGCAAAGCACAATGAGATCCCGAGCTTCGTCATAAGAGACGCAATTGATGTGAAGCCAATCTTTCTCCCCTGTTTGGCCGCCTGCCCTGTCCCACAATGCTAGGCCCGATGGATCCTGCGTCCCTTTGCCTTGACCTTTCGTGGCCAATTTCCGGTTTCGTTGGGCGTATATCCTGCCAACAGGACAGAAGTTGATATCAAAAAGCTCAGGATGCGCTCCAATTCCACCAAAGTTTGGCAATTTCTCACTCAAATCTTGAACTATGTGATCCCACATGGACCACTGCCAAACAACCGTAGCAGTAGTGCCTTCTGGCCGAAGCTCAAGGACAAGATTATTCCAAACTTCGTTGTCAGGCATCAGATCTGATCCGCGGCCAGCGTCTGTGGCTTGCTGCTTAGTCTTGCGCTCCCAAACCAGAACGAGTACATTTCCATTGGGCAGCGGTTCAAGATCATGGTGCGACAAGGTCTGCTGGTATGGGTAGAAGTCATACACCCAAACCAGCTCATTGTGCCAGCTCACTTCTTCAACTACACCACCTGCACCACCCACTTGAAATCCAGGAGAATCTAAGGCAACACAACCATCCCGGAGTAGATTTCCAGATGGACGCAAATAGGAGGTGAAAACACTTCTGCTGCTACGCCATTTGTGCACGACCTGCCCGTCTTCATCAATCAAATAAGTTTCTCGACTAGCATTGAACAGGGTGTATCCAGATGACAATTTTGCGTCATTGCGAGTGACAACGCCCACAGTCCTTTCCAACACAGGAAGCTGAGACATCGCACCCTCTCTCTCTATCTGAGCCAACTGCTAGGTTGCAAGCTTCTGGCGACATTCCCACACCAAATCTGAAACGCAAACTTCCATTGGCGCCTCGACAATATCAGTTGCCGAAACGATCCGCGGGAAAGCATCCACCTAAGGAGGTATTGCATGAGCAAACCATCCTCGATGCACAACATGCAACCCCTTGCATGAAATGCCTGGAATTCTGCGGCTGACACTTAGCCTTTGACCACAAGGTGCCCAGGAAAATGCTCCAAGCCTGCATGATGTGAGGTCCAACGACTTTTCACGGCAGTCGTTTCCAAACACAGCGCATCCACACACTATGCAATCGGAAAGTCCGAATAGACTGCAAAGTGACCAAGAAAAGAAGGAAGCATCTTCTTCTGCAAGACTCTTGTCCCTGATTATCAAAGTTATCTGCTGCCCCTGCTTCACCGCAAAGCTCAAGCCTTCTTTCTTGCCCATGGGCCTGGGCTTGGCAAACAGTCATGTGGTTCCGCATATTTGCATGCATTTTTCATAGCTTCAGGATGTGTTTCTGACAAGGTTGGCTCCGGGGTGGTCGTACCTGGGATGTCCAGATTATTCCGAATGACTCCCTACCTACCCCCGAAGCCACTGAGAGCATCTCATCCCCGGTTGACTTCCAAATGAGAATGTTTGTTGCGATGAACTGTGATCAAAATGATGCGTCCACCTGGCCAGGCGCCAGTGCTGGCTGCCTCAAAGACTAAGGAACTTATGGACGCGCCAAGGGAATGCTCAAAGCACCCACTCGCAGCATGCAAGAAGTACATATCCAGCACTACAGGCAGTCATGCAAGCCTTCAGCCAGCTTCTCAATTCTCAATTGCTGAACACTTGAATTTAGATGCAGTGTTGTTCTGTTGCTCTGTTGCTCTCTGAGTGTCTGGCTGCTGACTCGCCCAGTGACGCAGTAGCAGTCAAACTCGGTGGAAGAGACGCATGTCACAAAACCATATCGCCAAATATTCTGCAAATAGACACCAATAGTACAAAGAAGCTATTAGGGGCTCCTGGCATCGCTACTAGGAGCAAGGACGCTACTAAGGGCTATTAGAATTGAATTAGAATATAATATACACATTATGCTCCACCTCCAGAATGCCCTGCTTGGCCCTAATCATAGGGCATTAGGGCTTGGGCTCCATGTCTCCAGCATCAGTGGTCTGCACCAAGTTCTGCAGCTCCGAAGCCTTGGTCAAAGGAACTAGCGGGCTTGCGCAGGCTGGCCATGTGCAGGCTGGTGCATCCTTTTCTTTCGTGTGAGGAATCTGAGCTAATTGATTTCTGTCGCACAAGCTTCAAATCTTATCACGTCTCAAGTGCTTCTGATGTGTATGTGACGCAATCTTTTGTCCAAATGGATTAAAAAGGCCTTTGTTGGCTCTTGCGCATTCTCTTCCGGGACCTGCAGGTTAGCGGGTGGTAGTTTGAAAGGTTCGTTCAAGCAGAATCAGTCCTGGCCTTGGGGCTGGTCATCTGCAGCCCGCTTGGTATATCTGGCAGTGCAAATCACATGACTCCATTGTGGCCGTTCTCTGAGCGGACCAAACAGAAACCTTGAACAGTTCCTTAGACTCCTGGCTATGAACGTGCCCCTGTCCCAAAAAGCTGTCCAAGTTGGGCCCAAATTGATGCAGCACACGAATCCCAAATACAAAAGGTCTAGATCCCTGAAAACAAGTTCCTGTGTATAGCACGTTTATTAATTACTTACTGTATACTATACTGCACTCTGATTACAAAGGCGGAAAAAACCCGCAAAGGACAGTCCAATCCAAAAGTGGAAACTGATTGTGTCTCTCTGAGAAGGTCCATTCGCACATACGGCAGCGCATCTCTCGTCTCTTTGGCATTCCATGTTGGGCGATTCACAAATCCTTTTTTAGATCACCAGCCGAAACGAGGCCTTTCAAACGCCAGAGCCAACCGGGGCATGAATGAGGAAACACAAAGGTTCACTCCAACTGTTCAGCTCACGCAGCTCAACATGTTCAATCCCATCGCCATTTTGAGGCATGTGGCAAGTGCTGGCATCATCTGACACCATATGCAGCTCAAGCCATGAAATTGGAAGCCGTGCTTTGAAGCATAAACACTGGAACAGTGTCCCCCTGACGATATCTGGAGCAACGCAGCTAGGCAACGCCGCGGGTAGTACGCAGCAGCACTTGGACAATCCGATCTACGCCCGCACTACCTACGTTCATGAGTGACACCCTGCCTATCAGTATAACAGTCAACCCATTGCAAGATGTGAAAAGCATGCTTCTGAGAGCGTCGTCACCGGCGTGGCGAATGCTGCTGTTCCTCAAGGCCGCCAAGGGCATTATAGTTTCTTTGTTGTGCGAAGCAGTGCAACGGATCCAACAGCAATGGAGGACTCCTCATGGGTCCGTGAAGGGAAAGCAGTGCTTCAAGAGGCTTTAATTATATATATATACATACCTGAGAAGGGGGGGAACGAAAGCCAGCTGCCACTTCATTACGCGGGTCCCTGTACGTGGGCCCCTGTCTCCACTCGAGTCCTCTATGCCCATCGCCCAAAAAGTCCCCAAAGCCCTTCATGATGCTAATGATGCACTACTCGGCGTCCATTACATCACTTGCATTATCACCAGACCCCATTTTCACTGCTTTTCAGACTCTCGCTTTGGAGCCCTCTCCCCCACCAAGCTCTGGGTTCACCCTATCAAAAGGTTCCGCTCAGCGACCACCCCACCCCCACACCCCCTTAACTCACTTCGTTCGCCCTAAAAGCTCAAGCCTTGCCTATCGGCTGGCTTACGTAACAAAATATTTTGAACTGGCGGGAACCTTGAGCTCCTGCTCCAAGCCGCTGCCGCACCCCTTTTGCCTACGGCTAAGGTCTGGCTTCAGGGGTCCATAGCGTCCCTACGCTAACCTGAAACGTTCCAGCCTATACGTCCATCAAAAGACATGACATGTTGAGCCAACTCGTGAGATTCACACGGATCAAAATTCTCTGTTGGCTCAACTGACTTGTACATCAGCTACGGTGATCGTGGGAACCTGGATTTCGGCTTTGCTGCGGCGCGAAGTCCTTGGGACATGCCTGAAGCAACCGACCAATCCTGATCATCTGTGGCCAGATGGTACTGTTCAGTCAGGCCACTAAGTTCCATCACCATCTCTGGCTCTGCTCCAAATTCACGGAGCATCATTTGGAGGTACTTCTGCCTCCAGCCAGGATAGCTGTGAAGCTTCCGAGCGCCCTCGTGACATAATTCAGCCACTGCGGCACAAAACTCGACATCCGTAGGGGTCATTGCCCTCACCACTGACGGCTCATATCCTTTCTCAGAGGTCGGCTGGCCCTCCTCGATCTTCTCTTCAAAGTAACAGGATCGAACCCCTTCGTGCAACACAGTCGGAAGGCCTCACCCCACTCGCCGGTTCCCTCCAGCATCGGCGTCACCTTGTTCTCCTTGAGCAGGTCCTTGTAATGCATGAGCACGGCTTCCACGGTGGTCTCGGCACGGTCGAGATAGGCCGCTCCAGTCTGTAGCTGGAGCATTTGAGTGTTCACCGTGTATGTCATCGTGAGCACTCCTTTCTCACCCCTGAACTGCTTTGAGTCCACCATTTCCAAAAGGCAATTTGGCCTTGCAGGAAGCTCGGGTCTGCACGATGGTCTTCTTGAATTCTTCTTCGCTCTTGGCATACCGGTAGGTCATGACCTCCATGAGTGCTCTCATCTCGATCTCCTTCAGACCTTTCGTGTCGATCTTCACCATCTCAGCTGCTTCTACTGCTCTCGCGAACAAAACTTCTGAGCCTCGTGTCTCTTGCGGTCGTCGCTTTCGAATAGCTCTTTGCTCTGCAGCATTTTGAAGCATCACACTCTCATTGTTCAGATGGTACAGGTTACTAGTAATGGCCCCTCTCAACACATCCATGGCATCTGCGTTTTCTTTGGTTAGAGCATCTGCTAACTGTAGCCATGTCGGTGCCCATCTGATAGTTCCCCAAACTCGTTTCATCGTTTCCTTCACTATGATCAAATCGATGGCAACCCTCTTGTCGGATACACTACTTGGGGAGGAGTATGTTTGAAGATGGTCATAGATGCTCTTGCAATCCGTAATAGCCTGAATGCAAAACTCCTTGATGAACCTTGACCGTTGTTCCAATGAAAAGTCAGGAAAACGAAGCTCAGCTAAATGACAGGCAATCCACTCTGTGTGTCCCAGTCCGTCCATAAGAGCTTGTGTTTCTCCTGCAAATGTTGAACCAACCACCCTTTTCAGCCTGTACGATTTCCATGTTGCTGGTGCCCAAACTGCTGGTGCTCCGGTCCGAAGTTCATCGGTTGTCACTCCAACAATGTACCCTGCTTGTGTACCTTGCTTTCTGGCATTTGCGAATGCTGCATCAGTGTGTAAACACAGTCTGATCTTGTCGAAAGGTATTGGCAGGATTTTCCATGTTAGATGCTTGTATTGCTTTGCCCTTCTGGTGACATTGGCAACTGTTCTGGCTTCACCTAATGTTGGTGTCGGCATTAGTTGTTGTCCCTGGCTGACTTGCTCTGCCAGGTCCGGTCGGGTCTCCTTTGCCAGCCAGAGTCCTGCCCCGAGGACTGACCTCAAGGATGTTCCTTCCTCGGCATTCACCGTTGTTGTAGCGTCCTCTTTGGTTCTCAACTTGGGTTTCACCATGTTTTCGGCAAACTGTTCCTGGCTCACTATGATTGCACCTGTCTCATCTTGTGTCAAACTCGACCCACAGAAAGTCCCTTTTCCAGTCATCCACTTGCGAAATGGGAATTGCTGTTTGAGTTGAACAATGGACTTCTCAAAAACGTCCCCTCTTCCTCAAAGAACCACATCATCGACATGTGCCCCCATGATACCTCCTAGCGCTCTCCCCTGACTTATGCTTTCGGTCCCATAGCATGTACAGACATGGATCTAGTCTTGAAGGCTGCCATCCCAACTTGCGAACAGTCTCATCGAATGTGTCGAACCATTTTTGTGGACTGTCGTTGAGGCCATAAAGTGGACGAATCACTTCGAACAATTGTTCTGGGTCGTGATCGGGGAGCTGAAAGTTCTTTGGCCCTGACATCCTCTTGCTGTCCACCTGGCCTTCACAATTTGTTCACCTGTATCTTCCGTTTTCGGTGTCAACACCAACCGACTTGGGATCACGCGTTCTGGATGTTGTTGTCTGATTCTCCTTGATTCATCAACTGAGCAAGGTCGTAGTGCATGTTTGTCCTCAACACAATTCTTCACCTCCTTCCTCACTCCTTGCACCAACAACTCCTTTCCTTTGGGTGATCTCCAATAGTCCTCCTTTGGGTTGATCTCCTTCCTGCCTCCTGCC